TCTCCCATCCATACCAAGCCTTTCGGGTCTGGTATGGATTTTGAGGGGTTATTCTACGCCAAAAAAAGTGGTGTGGGCCTCCCCCCAAATCCATACCAGACCCTTGGCAGAGGGTCCTAATGTGATGTTACTAGATGTCCTAAACACGGTTTATTCCTTAAATAAGCCGCTTTTTTTTTTTTTTTTTTTTTTTTTTTTTTTTTTTTTTTGTATCTTGCTCTCAGCAAACTATCTTGTGACTCTGTTCCTTTTGACCTAAAGAAATTACACATTAGTCACCTCTCAGGCCCCTGGCATTTGGGCAACAATGCTTTATTATAAAAATTACCTAAGAAACAAAAGGTCCAAGGCCAACACATTTAATAGGCATTACAGGCAGCAGGGATGTGCAAAATCGTGTTTGGGGGGGGTTTGTGATCTTGTATTTCCAGGTAGGGGGCGCTGGCACTTCCGGCCCACACCACTTTTGGCTCCTTGGCATGTTAATCACCGGGTCTCGGCCGTTGGGACTTGGTGATCATCGGCGGAGTTGACGGGAGAGGTCTGTATGTAAACAACGCAGATCTCTACCCTGTCAGCACAAACAGGCTACTTTGTATTGCTCTGCACAGCAAAACGCACACTATGTAAAATGCGCACCGTTAACCCTTTGATAGCCCCTGATGTTAACCCCTTTCTGTTCAGTGTCATTAGTACAGTGTCGGTGCTTTTTATTAGCACTGATCACTGTATTCGTGTCACTGCGAATGTTAGTAGCAGAATGCCCTCTGCAGTCCTGCAATAAGTCACTGATCACTGCCATTTTTTTTTATTTTTTTTTTTATTTTTTTTTTTTTTTTTTTTAGCAAAGACTTAGTGTTTTATTATTGGACATGTTTAATAGCAAAAAGTTTAAAAAAAACAAAAATTTCAAAATGGGGGTGTGTAAATAAAATGTAAATGCACAGGTGATCAAATACCACCAAACGAATGTTTTTGTGTGTGTGGGGGACATTTTTATTTCATGTACAAGTTGAATGACTGTGCAAATTGTCAAAGCGCCGTATCGCAAAAATGGACTGGTCAGGAAGGGGGGGGGGGGGTAAATCCTCAGGAGGGCAAGTGGTTAAGCTATAAAATAATAAAAGGGCTTTTAAAAAATATTAAAATGATGGAACACTATCCATTGTCCTTCTTCTTTTTTTTTTTTTTTTTTTAAAGATTATAACAGAATATTTTTAAAAAGGAAATCCAAGGTCGGAAAGAAGTGAAAACGAATGACAGATTGCAAAAGATAGCAGGACAAAGCTCCGAAAATCAACTATATTAAATGGTAAAAAGGTCAGCTCTGAGCATGTAGGACCTTTACAAAATAATCTACAGTGGGTGACTGACTTGGGGACAAATGATCTACAATGGTTCACAATTGATATAGTCCAGAAATATTCAAATAAAGGGATAAAACACCTGGACCAGATGGCATATACTGACAGTTCCTAAGAGAATTGAGCTCTCATTTCAAAGTCATTGTTTCTAATTTTTAAGGACTCTTTAATGACTGGCATAGTACCACTGGATTGGCATAAGGCCAATGTGGTGCCTATATTTGAAAAGGGATCAAAGTATTTACCAAGTAATTATAGACCTGTTAGTTTATCTTCTATAGTTGGGAAGACACTGGAGAGTTTTAATAAAACTGTAAATCCCCTATGTGATAGGGGAAAAAAAAAAACAAAGTTACACCCACGCACTTACCATTTCCTCACCCCCCCCCCCCCCCCCCAAAATAAATATTGAGGCCCCCCCCCCCCCACACATACGCACGTACAAACCTAAAAGCACACGTTGGGGTGCCTACGCATGAAACTGTCGATTGCAATACACATGTCAAATATCACCATGCATGCTAGGATGAGAGCAATAATTCTAGCACCAGAACTCCTCCGTAAAGCTAAGCTGGTGACCTACAAGGAGCTTTAAAAGTGTCGACCTGTAGAAAATATAGGGTACTGAATTTTGTCGCCATTTCACGAGCGTGCACAAATTTTAAGGTTTGACAAGTTGGATATCTATTTACTCACTGCAACCTCATCTTTTATTTTTTACAAAATAAAAGGTAATTTATTGTTTGTGCCCTAAAATTAACTTGCTTGTATTTCTTACTAAAATTTTGCGGTAAAATTATGTGACACAAAAAATTGGAACTACAACTGTTTTATTCTCTAGGGTCTCTGCTTTCAGAAAATAGATCATGTTTGGGAGGTTTTTTTTTTTTTTTTTTTGTGTAATCTTCAGGCCTAACATTTTTTACTAATTATTTCGTAGCGAAAGGGATAAAGTATAAGCCCTGTAAAACCCTTTCCTGATGAGCAGCCAATCCTTGTTAATCACACTGCAATGTCTTGGCTGCAGGTCTGCTGTATATGTAGACATGACCGGTTCCAGGGTTTTTATGCTATATTCAAATGGCTGCAACACTGCTGTGAACTTGTTGCTGATTTGGCAAGGAACAAGGTTCCTGCATAAATGATTAGTTAATCAGTTTTTCTAATGTGTAAAAAATTGTCATGTTCGTGTGTGTGTTGTTTTTTTTTTTTTTTTTTTTTTTTTTTTCTCTACATCCGTGTGACTGAGGCCCCAAGGGTTCATTCACATGGGTGTTTAACACTTGTACAGCTTGCATTTTGTTAGTGCCCCTGTATCCACCCTAACTTACATGCAGGCAGCCTATAGATGTGGACACAGAAGCATCAGCTGCACTGACACATCTGCATGTCAAAAATTTGTCATGTCCTGGGGCACTGATCCAAATGCAGACTGTCCGTGCAGGAGCTGCACCTCCATCTACCTTTTTCAGTGGGGAAAGGGTTTGTACCCAAGTTAAGTGTTTTGCTGATGCAGGAATTTGAAAGGAAATCCCAAATTCTAGAGCCAAAGTTGGTGACAATCTTACAATGGGGATATTTTGTTTTGGTAAAAACTGTTTAAAAGGAGACTTTTTTGCTTCCTATGCAGTCTCTTGGACAGGAAGTAAAAATAATTTGATTTGCCAAAATAATACATTGAGACTTATCCAGTTCCTGCCCTTTTCAAAACAAAAGTTTTGGTTTTGTATAATTTACTAGAAGTTGTTTTGTAGATATACGTTTAACCTTTTTTTGTTTTTATCATCTATCCTGTGTCTATACTTACCTGTGTGCAGTGGTTGTGCACAGCGCAGCCTGGATCCTCCTCTCCTCGGTTCCTCTGCAGGCTCTCCCTGGCCCCTTTTTGGTCTGTCGGGTGCCCCCACAGCAAGCAGCTTGCTATGGGTGTACCTGCAGCGCCATGTCCATTCACACACATGGAGCTGTGGCTTGACCCCGCCCCATCCCTCTCTCTCCTCATTGGCTCACTGGCTGTGATTGCTAATGAGGAGGCAGAGACCCGGGACAGCCGAGGCTGTCATTCACATCGCTGGATCGTGATAAGGCTCAGGAAATTATTAACCATTTTGGTAACTACGCTGTAGCCGAATTACAGCTCGGTTACCCAGTTCTGGGAGGTTGTCATGACATAAGCTCTGAACTCTGTATCCTACAGACACAGCTGTTCACGTGATGAAGTAAAAGGCCAATCACAGCAGCCTTTTACCATGTGGTCAGCTATGTCCAATGACACAGCAGATCACGGAGTAAACACAGTTGCCGGTTACCGGCAGCTCTTTCCTCATGCTATCACTGCGTCGGAGATCGGCACTGATGAGCAGTGCTGCCTATCAGTGACCATCAATGCACATCAGTGAAGGAGAAAAATTACTTATTTGCAAAATTTTATAATAGAAACCAAAAACTTTTTTTTTTTTTTTTTTTTGTTTATAGTGCTAAAATAAAACACCCAGTGGTGATTTAAATACCACCAAAAGAAAACGCTATTATTGTGAAAAGGGAACAAAAAAGTTAAAATTTCACATGGGTACAGTGTTGCATGACTTTGCAATTTTGTCATTCAAAGTGTAACCGCTCTGAAAGCTGAAAATTTGGCCTGGGCACAAAGGGGAGTATAAGTGCCCTGTAGGCAAGTAGTTAAGGGAGCTGCTGCATGCAGGAGTGTGCGTGTGCCTTCATGCATAGAATGCATGAAGGTAAAAAAACCATTCAGCCTTTATACCCCCCCCCCCCCCCCCACACCTATGCCATTTTATCTTTGTAAGAAAAGTTTGGATATATACATTCACATCTATTTTGTTTTTTTTTTTTAGGCAGCTCCAGCGTGGTCACATAATCTCCCCTGTGTCAGCCAACAGTGGCTGAAGGAGGGGAGAGCACTCTGAAAATGGCCAGCAGAGCCTTGAGCAGTGATGCCACCCATAACAATTATTGGCCTATCCATTGTCGGCACTTCCACCTCTCCCCTGGAATTGTGTTGGCCAACATGGGGGCTGTATCGTGTGACCAGGCTGAAGCGGCCTGATAATAGTTAAGTATACACATCCATCTTACACAGGTTAGTTTTTCATAGGTGTTAGGGGAGAGGGGAGTGTTTCAAAGCTAGTTAGGTGCATAGCTGGAATTCCCCTTTAACCCTTTTCATCAACCAAGGTATTTGTGTCTGTATCTGTCGTTGCAGCAGTTGGTTTGACTGTCGGGTAATATTTACTTTAGGACACATCAGCTAAATCGGTAGTGTTAGCAACACTGGGAATAGTGATCAATAGTTACATCCTGCAAAATAAACCCATGAAAATGTTTAGAGAGCTATATAGTACAGCATGTGTGTGGTTCCCCCCCTTCCCAATTGTTTTGATGTGTTTGCTGTGCTTTATTATATCCTTAATTTATGGAAGGTGCTCTTGCTGTAGCAGGACAAAACTAGGGTGTTTTTCTGTTTGTGTTTTTTTGTTTTGCTGTTTAAATTACATAGATGCGTACTACACTTTTATAGGCTGACCTATAGGGAGACCTACAACTGCAGAAATACTAATGAGTAATGTTTTGTCCTTTTTTTTTTCAAGTGTGCATTATTTCTTTTGCCTGTTTTTTAGGTTGGACCGCCTCTTTATTTTACTGGACACAGGAACAACTCCAGTCACACGAAAAGCAGCCGCACAGCAGCTTGGGGAAGTGGTGAAGCTTCATCCACATGAACTGAACAACCTGTTGTCTAAGGTGAGACCATCAACCAATGATGGCTTTGTTCAATTGCTCAGAAAACACACTATAGAATTTTTTATTTCTTTGCCTTAGGTCTTGATCTACTTGCGAAGTCCAAACTGGGATACACGTGTTGCAGCTGGTCTGGCAGTAGAGGCCATTGTGAAAAATGTTCCTGAGTGGAATCCATCAACCAGGCTGAAGAGAGGTATTAATGTTACTTGTGTAGTCCTATAGCCAAATGGCTTTTGCATGCATAAAGAGAAACTGAACCTGAATGCCTTTTCTACCTAAATTTTTTTGTAAATAAAAGCTTTCAGTGTTTTTCAAAGCCACATTGCCTAGTGTTTTACTTTTTTTTTTTTTTTTTTTTTGTCTTTATTTTAAAATCTAAGTTCTTAGATTGAGTGCTGTAGATTGTTGGATACACTTTGTGAGATTACTCTTGAGTGTGTTAGAATTGGTAATTTATCAACAGGTTTTTAAAAATCTGACATTTCTTTCATGTGTTCAGGCAATGACCATCTCCTATAGGCCGGTCTAAGCTATACACTTCTAATTTGCAGACATTCTATAATACTTATTCCAAATGCCTATAAAAATTCAAATGTGGATTATCTTTGTACAATAGTGCTTAAAAATATACAAAAAACAGGACTAATGAAAAGGTAAAATGAATGACCCCCACCCACCACTAATCTCCAATATCTATTTTTTCTGGTGCAAACAAGGATTGTGAAGCATATGGGAACAATGGAGTTATTGGGGGATCTAAAGAGTGAAGTTGGAGATTTGCTAGTGTATAATGGGCTGCTCTATTGGAGGAACTATCTAGAGGGGGGAGGTGGGATTCCTTCATCTAATTCATTTTGTGTGGTGACATCTGCTGAATGTTCTCCTTGTGACCCTGTATACATCTTATAACAAATCACATTTGTAAGTACAGTTCAGTTTTCCAATGCAGTCACTTGATCGAAACATTCATGTGCAATGTGGAAGACTGACAACAGGATTGAATTCCACAGAGCAGTGATGTCACCTGCTGGTTTTAATTGCTCTAAGCCAGGGTGCCTTCAGGCTTCTTCAGGGGTGTCTTGGCAAAATGCCTAAATATTGTATACAAGTCAGCAGGTGGCTCAATCCTGCCTTTTCGTTACAGAAATCCACAGGTTTTCATTGTGCACTGTTATGACCTTCTATATGCCTTATCAATTGATGAGGAGGTCTGCTGCATTCTAATAATCCTTGTTTGCTATTACGTTCCCCCCCCAACATCGTCAGTACTGGGGTCAGATTAGCAGAGTAAGGGAGAGAAATTGATACACACTGGAATACCAGTGTGCAAAGGTATATTTGCGTGTGGAAGTGTGTAGCATTGTTTTGTACATTTTAGAATTGGGTGCTTTTTGAGATTTGTGCAGAATTTTAAAGGGTGCCCTGACTGAAAAAAGGTTGAAACACGGTTCTAAGCCATTGTTGGTGGGGTTTTCCCTCCTGCTAGCTGCACCAGAAAGAGTTTGAGCTGTGGGATCAAGTAAGTGACTGACTCAATTGACAAACTATTATTGGGAGATGAGGGGGGGGGGGGGGGGGGGGGGGGGGGGGTGCAGATGTATTTTTGTTAAATTTATTGCAGGACCCTTGGTAGAATATCCTTTTAAACATCTTAAGTGCCTGTACAGATACGTGGATTGGATTTGAACCGCATCCAATCTGCATGACATGTGAAATACCATTGCTTCCTTTGGTGCCTGCTCACATATGTCCGGTGCAGGGGTGGACTGACCATTTGGAGACTCAGGCACTGCCCGGGGTCAGTAGGGGCCCCATGAGATGCCCCTGGTACACTTCTTTTTTTTTTTTTTTTTTTTTTGCCCGAGGGCCCCATGAGTTGTCAGTCCACCCCTGGTCCGGTGCAGATTCAGTGCAGTTTTAAAGAGTGATGTCTGATTTCTGAGCAGTGGCTTCAGGTTTAGGTGCGAATAAAGGCTATTGACTTCTATGGGAACTGTTCCTAAACCGCATATGTGAACAGGAGGAGATCCTGACCTGAACCGCTACTGTATAAATTAGCTTTGAAACCTGAGCTTCTGTTCGCACTGCGTATGTGTGAATTGGCTCCAAATGTTGGCTTATTACTAGACCTTTTCTTCTACCTAAAGCAGAACTATATTGAATCCAGCGATGCGCACTCTTCAGTACTCTCCACCAGCTATGTCAGACACGTGATCCGTTATTATACCAGTCATTTGATGATTTGATAGTTTGGTTGAGAGCACAAGCAAATGTAACTGTAATTCCTGGCATGCGAGGAATTCCAACTGTTTTCTGAACCCGTTAAATTGATGAGTTTAATTCCACTTGGAGAAATGATCAGTAGAAATGTAAAAATTGCTCTGGTCCTTTTTAGCGGTAAATGGGCGTGAGCTGATGTGGGTAAAGACTTTGAAAAATCAAAAATCTGGCTTTCAATTTAAATGACACCCTGTCCTCTTGTATGGCAGAATTTGCCCACAGTAGGTTCTGTTCATTCCTATGAAGGGCTACTTTCCCAGGGGATTTGCAAATGATTGCATTATACAAAAGCCACAGAGTGAGCAGAACACCCTCATCTTGGGGGGGGGGGGGGGGGTGGGGTGTTTTTGAAGTGTAAAAAGTTGTCAATAAAATTAGTATTGACAACCACAACTGAAATACCAGCTTTTTTCATGGGATTGACCTTTTTAAAATTGTTAGTATTATAATTGACTCTACTTTTTTTTTTTTTTTTCATTCTAATTTAGAGGCTGGTTCAGAATGCTCAAGTGATGAGTCTCCTCTCTCAGACAGGCTGAGCTTTGACAGGTTTGACATATCAAGGTTATTAAAACATGGTGCTTCGTTGCTGGGCTCAGCTGGTGTTGAATTTGAAGTTCAAGATGACAAATCAGGTATTCATTTTATGTCACTTGTTTATGATATAAATATAGATATATAGATCGATATAAATTTTCTATTGTCTAGACTGTAGAATGTTCAACTGGGGTTAAGCAAGATTCTACATATTATTCCTAAGTAGTATGATTCTCCTGTTTTTCTTGTGAAGAAAACTTTTATATGGAGCTACAGTATGACAAATGTGTTGATGACTCTGCTTCCTGATTCTTGTAAAACACAAGCCAGTAATTTTAAAGGCATGTACACAACTACTGGGGTCTGTTACCTGACACCATCAAGCAACTCTCAATTGTTGGCAGCATTTGTCAGGTCATGCAGTTGATGCACCAACTGTCGAGACTTTTTAGGTGACTACTGACTCCCTGTTTTGGAATTTTATTTACTTTGAGCCTGACAATTCAGACATTAAAAATAATCCTCCAATGCATTCAATTGGTAAAAATTAAATAAACTTGCCAGCCTTTTTTTTTATAAAATTACAATTTTGTTTGCAACAAATGCATGTCTTTTGGCTTCCAGGGTTACAGGAAGCCAATGTGAAAAGCACACTGCTGTCAGTCCAGCACTGAGAGTATACTGATAAAAGCCTATAAAATGTGTATATAGACTGCGCTGCAAAAAAAATGAGTCAGAATTGCTAAACCGTTTGTCATGTAAAGTGCAAAAAATAACACCAGAAAACACAACTAATATCCAATGTATAAATAAGTCAGATTCAAATAATCGTTGCTTAAAGTAATTTAAGTGTACAGGTGCTGGTGCCATTAGTAACAAAAAACACGTGACCACTTCCAGGTGACCCCACATGGATTTACACTTGCCACAATAGATTGACCTTCTATAACTGTGCTTTTGTTTGGGTGTGAATAATAGCCTTTTCAGACTGATCAGTTTTTCAGTAAAAAAAAGTGGAAGAAAAAGGCATCCATTTAAAGTGTTACTAAACCCAGGACCTTGCATTTACTCTATCTGGTTTCCCACAGCACACGGAAATGCAATTGTTTTAGTAAATATAACCTGCTAAATACCTTTTTTCTCATCAGCAGTTAGAGCAGTCTTGTGACTTAAGCCGAGCACTGGTTAAAGCTTGTAGGAGGAGTTTTCTTTCTGTTCTAGGAGGATGCAGAACCCCTGACCCTCTATCTGGACAGTGCTGATTGACTGTTAATCACATGCACTCTCCCAAGAAGGAAAAAAACCTGTCTAGCAATGCACACTAAACTGCATGTGGCTACAGGTTCAGTCTGTCTTTATCAGGTCAACATCTGAACAAGAGGAGGGGCAGAGAAGACCAAATCAAACTCATTTTTACAAAATGCAGAGGATTAACCCCTTAGGTTCCACAGGGAGTATAACAAGCATGCTTTACTGCATATACAGACTGATTTTACTGTTGTGGGGTTAGTAACACTTTAGAGCAATGTGTAGTGTTTAGTAACACTTTACATTCTATGGAAATCTTTACACTGGTCAGTTGCATTTTTAAAAGGCCTGTTGCATTCTTGGTGCGTGTTTAAATAGCTCTTCCATACTGTTCAGTTTTTTTTTTTGTTTTTTTTTTTTTAATGTTCTTTTGTTCAGGTGTGAAGTATTCCAATTTAAAGGGATGCATTTTTCTTCTGCTTTTCTTCAGTGCCTGTTTGTTTATCTTTGTGTGTGTGTGTGTGTGTGTGTGTGTGTGTGTGTGTGTGTGTGTGTGTACTTTTGGTTTTTGTCCACAAAAAAAAATCAGTGTGAAAGCAGTCTAACTGTGAAAAGTCAGGTTGGGTACTTTGATCACAGGGCTGCCTGCATAGAATTTTGAATTCTGGAAAGTTACAGTTCCCCTATGTGTATTTTTAACTGTTAAACTGATTGCATGGATACTTGATATTTTTGCATGCACCCAGTCATCATTAGTTCTCTTTAATGGAGGTGAATGGCAACACCGTTTCATTGAATGTGCTCAAAGATTTCTGACCACAATTTACTTGCCTTCAGCCTATCCTCATTGTTTGTTTTTTCAGGCAAACCACACTGGGCACATAGTAATAGGATTCCCAAACTGCACTAAAAACATATTAGGAACCATGTACAGCATCTACATCCCTCACCCTGCAATGCATCACATTCACTGCTAAATTATAGTTTTCGATTGATGCAGGGATTTCAAAACCTTTTCTCACAATGAAGCACGCAAAACTGATGTGTGCTGGGAAGCTATCTATGGATCATCCAGTGTCTTTGGGTCATGAGGACAAATATGGGAAACTGTGTATTTAGGATGTTGTGTGTTTATAGGTTGGATTTGTCATCCATTTGCTCAGTATTTTTGTTTCCATGCTTTATCTTGTTTTTATATGAAAATATTTAATTCAGATTGAAAACAAATTTAAGTTGCTATTCTTACAGTAAGACAAATCCACTTTATTTTTTAGTGGACGTGGACCCCAAGGAAAGGATAGCACGGCAAAGAAAGCTGCTGCAGAAGAAGCTAGGCCTTGACATGGGCGCTGCCATTGGGATGAATACCGAAGAGTTGTTTAATGATGAAGATCTGGACTACATGCCAAGCAACACTCTTGTAAATAAACCTGTAGGTAAACCTTTGTTGCATCATTATGATGAGGGGAGTTTTTTTACAGCAGGTATAGAAAAGAATCACATAGTGTTTTTTTTTTTTTTTTTTTTGTTTTTTTTTTTTTTTGTTTTTTTTGTTTTTCCCCTTCACATTTTCTTGCTGTATTTACTCAATGCAACTTAGTGCCTTGAAAGTCTTCATACCCCTTGACATTTACCACATTTTTGTCATGTTATAAGCAAAAACGTAAATGTATTTATGTGACAGACCAACACCAAGTGGCACATAATTGTGAAGTGGAAGGAAAATTTATAAATGTCCTTAATTTTGCGTGCGTGTCACCAAAAAAGCTCCATACCCACAGTGAAGCAATGTGTTGGAAGCATTATGATTTGGGGCTTTGTTCTTCAGCTGGATCTGGAATTTTAGTCGAGTTGGAGGGACTTGTGAACAGTTCATATTTTTAGCAGAGGCTTGAAGGTTTTGTGCCAAAATGAACAGATTTTGAAGAGGAATTTCACCTTTTTGAGCACAGCAACAACTCCAAAGCAACAAAAAATGGCTTCACCAAAAGAAGATCAGTGTTGGAATGGCCAAGCTGCTGCCTGGACAAGAAGCCTATTGAAAATATGTGGGGTGACCTGAAGGGGGCACCCCACAGAATTGACAGATTTAGTCTAGTTTCACACTTGTGTAGTGCGGGACAGCACATGTAATTCGCATAGTAAATGCACCAATTTCCTGTGCAAATCACATGCGATGTGTGTGCAGTGCGATTTGAGCCATACATTTTTGTATGGCTCATATCCATTGTATCCACACCAAAGAGGTGCGGGGACCCCACCCCCGCACAGGATTCACATTTGTATGGCTGTTCACACCCATGTGATGCAAATTCTTGCAATCTGTTTCGGAGTGTTTAACACTGACAACCGCACCAAATCGCATGGGAATCTGTGCAGGAAACACAGCAAATATAGCATCCAGGCAAGATGCAAAGACTCCCATTCTAAAAGACTTGATGGACATACTCAACTACGATATTCTATCCCCCCTTTTTAACCACTTGCCAACTTCACTATAGCCAAATGACTGCTACAGCATGGTTGTCCAGTTCTGGGAGGGTGTCATATGATGTCTTCCCAGAATGTGCCTCGTTTTCGCTGTCGCTGTGTCCTACGGACACAGCTGATCACATGATGTGGTAAAAGGCCAATCACAGCTGCCTTTTACCACATGATCAGCTGTGTCCAATGACACAGCAGATCACCGGTAAATGCAGTTGCCGGTTATTGACTGCACTTTCCTGCTAATAACCGGCAATTGTCAGAGGATGGATCGGCACTGATTAGTGCCACCCACCTGTGCTCAGCAGGTGCCGCCAGTCAGTACCACCTATCAGTGCCCATCATTGTTGCCTATCTGTGCCCATCGTTGCATATTAGTGTAGCATAATCGGTGCCGCCTATCAGTGCAGCCTTGTCAACATACATCAGTGAAGGAGAAAAATTACCTGTTTTGCAAAATTTGTTAATCGTATAATTATTTTTTGTGGCGAGTAAATACCAATAGAAAGCTCTATTTTTGTGTGGAAAAAAATAAAAATTTCAAATGGGTACAGTGTTGCATGACCATGCAATTGTCATTTGAAAGTGTGAGAGCATCCTGGGCAGGAAGAGGGGATACAAGTGCCCGGTAGGCAAGTGGTTAAAGTGTGTGTGTGTGTGTGTGTGTGTGTGTGTGTGTGTGTGTGTGTGTTCAACCCCCCAAACCTAGCATTCTACAGGAGTATATAACTTTTCACATAGTGTGTGTTGCATACACTGATCAGCCATAACTTTGACTACTGGAAGGTTGAGGGGCTAATATTGGTTATCTTGCTACAATGGCATCTTTAAGATGTTGGGCCACAAGTAAGCATATGGTCTCTGCAGCCCCAAACACCACAACCTGCGATGCTCTTTGGTTTTCAACATATCAACTTGAGACTGAGGGGTGTCCATGCTGACCAATGTCCACAGCCAAAACCACATACAATAGGTAGCTGAGCATCAGAAGTGGATGATGAAGTGCAGTTCTTTTACGTTGTGTGCATTGCTTACCTGGGGAAGAGAAGGCACAAAGAATGCAGTATGGGAAGAGGGCAAGCCAGCAGAGGTCGTGTGATGCTTTAGGCAATGTTCTGCTGTGAAATCTTTTCGGTCCTGCCATTCTTGTGAATGTTAAATTGACATCTGACCTATACCTAAACTTCGTTGCTGACCAAGTACACCCCTTCATGGAAACCTTATTCCCTGATGGTAGTGGCCTTCCCCAACCCCTACTCCCCCCCTTCTTCTTTTTTTTTTTCCCCCTTCTTTTTTTTTTTTTTTTTTTTTTTTTTTTTTTTGGCACCTTGCTACACTGCAAAAAAATGGTTTGAATGTTTTGAGGAACACAACAGAGTTTAAGGCATTGCCTCCAAATTCTCCTGATTCAGTCCAATTGAGAATTTGTGGGATGTGCTTGAAGAAACAAGTCTGATCCATAAAAGCCCCATCTCACAAGTTATAGGACTCAGGATTTGCTACTGACTGCTTGATGCCAGATACTATAGCATGCCCTCATCGGTTGTTGCTTCTATGCCTTGACGGGTCAAGGCTGTGTTGGCCGCAAAAGGGAAACCTACTCAATATATGGTGGGTGGTTCTAAAGTGTTTTTTTTTTTTATGGCTGATTTATGTGCTGTACTTAAACAGGAATCTACTAAGGCTTGTAAATATGGTTACAAAAAGCTGAAATCTATGACTACTTTTCACACCATTGATTTTTGTGGTGTTTAATATCTTTTGTTTTATCCTTCAAGTATATCTAAATCGAAGAACAAAAAATGTAAGATTTCAGATTTGTCAACTCTTTCAAACAATGTTATTGGCTTTCAAGATGTTTGTAGTCCAAATCAGGATCCCCAGCCTAGGGTGACCCTGCTTCTTTATAGATTCATTAAAGTGTTGTCACCCTAGGAAAAATGCTATTGTGCAAAAACTGTGTAAAGACCTGCGTAATGTTGAGTACAGACGCGTAAGGGTGCGTAAGCGTAAAGATAAGTAAAATTCTTAATTGCCTGTGTTTGTAATGTTTTCCCTTTTATACTTATGACGCCTGTGTGCAAGGGGACAAAACCAGTAAACACACAAGTAAATTACTGCACTCAAATGAAAAATGTTTTTTTTTTTTTTTTTTGTTTTACTAATCTGTACTCAACTCTGTATTGGTGATCTTTACTCAGCTGTGTGCAATGTCCCATAGACCATCTCATTTCAGATCCGTAAAAAAAACAAACTAATTTTTTCACTCCTGTGTGCAACAGGCCTAAAGAATGAACTCCGTCACCACATCTAAGGACTGGCAAGCTATGCCGTTTGGATTTCTTGCTTGTACCTGTCAATCTTGCAATGCCTCATGCGATTTGTAGTTTGGCTACAGCTGGAGGGCCGCCAGCTTGACACCCGTAGCTTTAGATACATTCTTAACCGCCTTTTTAATATTGGTGTGTCTTTGCATTGAGGTGGTTATACTAGGATCGTGGTTGCAACTACAACCGTGATCACTGATAATTTTATTTGTGTATTATAACTTCTTTTCCTGGCGACTCTTTAGTAAAAGTGATTTAAGTAGCCATAGAGATGCTCGATCACTTTTACAGGCCACCTCCTTTTTGGAGCTCTCCCGTCCCATCGGGGAGCCTGGTACGATCGCATACACTGAGAAGAATGGGAAGTTTATATTTTACCAGTAATTTCAGTTGTGTTGTGTAAAATTCATTTAAGTGTATACTTTGGGGGGGGGGAGGGGAATTGTGTTTCAAAAACCACTGCACAAATATGTGATATAAAAAAAAATGCAACACTCACCATCTTATGCTTTGGGGCTTCTACGTAACTTTCTGACAGAAAAATCCCAGATTTTTTTTTTTTTGTACACATATGACAGAAATTTTAGAATTGGCCAATTGGTTGTTGTACCTGTATTTTTCCCTTCTCATTTAGGTATGTATTTTTTTGTTAATTTCAGGCCATCCAAGCAGCAGAATTTATTGATTCAGAATTTCTTCCGGGTATGAGTAACAGGCAAAAAAACAAAGCGAAACGAATGGCGAAGCTAATAGCAAAACAGAGATCTCGGGATGTAATGGAGGCCAACGAAAAGAGGTATGTGTAACCATTCACCCCCCTTCTTTCCCAGCCTGACTGTCCTGGCATGCCCTTGTTAAGCATCCCATGAAAGTAGGTGTGATCTATGATATGCAAATACAACTGGTTTGAGACTGCTCATTCCTCTAGACTGACATCACACTTAATTTGCATAACTCATCCAAAGAACTTTCTGTGGACTCTTGTGAGGAATTGTATTGATTTCAGGAAGCTACATACACCACTCTGCTGGCCCCTCCCACCAACAATGATATGCTTTTTTTTTGCGTTCGATCCAGCTCTGTCTGTGCCTCCACTTTAATGTTGAATGCAGTGTCATTTATCCAGTTTGAGCATAGGCAGTCTATCATGTACAAACCCCCATATTCATGTCACCCTGGGCTCACTACACTACTGCACTAAATGTGATCATGTGAGTATTCAGTGCAGAGGAAAGGACCACCCACCACCAGACAAGAGTAAGGACCCATGACATCGCCAGTTGCAACTGGGCCACTTGCTCTTCAGGGAGCAAGCCCCACCCGGTCTTCCAGAAGAGGAAAAAAAATCCTGTAGTTGATCCTGCTCTCCATTTTTAAAAAAACAAAAAACAAAAAAACTCCCTGCCTGTTTGAAAATGTTCCTCCTTTCAAAGATTCTGCAGATAGCCTTTAAGAGTATCACAAACTTTCTATCATTTAATGTTGCAGGCCAGCACTGCAACCAACTCTTGCTGCAATTTCAGTATTTTAAGCTGCATCAAACTGAACCAGGACAATGAACAACCAACATAACATTGTACTTCAGGATCATGATGTTAGTTGCCTTTTTGCTATTTCTGTGTATAAGCCCTGGAACATGTCATGAGATGCATTTCTAGAATGGTTTTACTTCCACAGCAAAAGGGTTCAAGATCACCTTCTGCAGGAACCCATAGCTCTTCAAAAACCTAGGTTTTGAAGTTTTTATGCCTGGTTCGAATGAACTGCTGCTCAGTTCAGTCCTTCCTTTTGGTGCAAGACTTGACCCACCAAGGCTACCTAGCCTTTCCCAAGCCCTGTTTACAATAAAAGGGACACCCTCATGCCTAAGCTTGTGGAGGGGTTGACATCAGATAGTTTGTTTCTCTGGGTCACAGACACCTCCCAGACCTTGTGGTTTCAAAAAGGTAAAAAGTTGAGATCAAAACTCTTGCCATCTCACTGCTTTCTTCTTTCAAATCAACCAACATCTACCCAAGGACAGATTTGGAAATGCCTTGAACCACCTCCTTGTCTCGGTTATTGTGCCAGTACCACAAGACCAGTTCAGCAGTTTTTGTATTCAGATGTGTTCAGGGTGTCAAAGCCCAACTGGGGGCATTTTAAAATACCTCATCGAATTTTTCTTCAAATTACAAAATTTTGCATAGTAGGATTTGAGTCCATCCTAGATGTCTGTCCCATTGTTTTGTTTTAACTTTTTTTTTTTTTTTTTTTTTTTTTTAACGCCCATAAAAGCTGTAAAAAGCAATTTTTTTTTTTTCCTTCTCTGGCTGCATTCTTGCAGCCATTGAGAAATACTGTGTGAGCTGTGATTGGTCACAGCTTGCCACATGGTACAAGGCTGTTGTGAATAGCCTTGTACCATGTGACCTCTGTGATTCAGATTTCACATGTAGTAAGCAATGATGTCAGAAGTGACATCTTGCTTACTACTCATGTGATCACTGATTGGTCAATCAGTGGTCACATGATCAGGACCTTGCACAGAAGTCCGTACAACGATCAGTGTTCCACTGTGTTCCGGAGGACACTGCGGGCACCGGATCACGGTATTGCACGCTCCCAGGGAGCACGCACAAGCAGGGAGGCCGTTTATAAATGACCACCCGCCCATGGAGTGCCACAGTCTGGCCGTTTTTATAAATAAAACGGTCCGGACGACGGGAAGTGGTTAAAAAGTCGGTGTTAATTTTTCAAGTGTTCGAATTCCTGTACGAACACCTCCAATATGTGTACTCCTCTTCCTCCCATGTCCGCTCCTCATGCAAAAATAAAAAAACTCAGTGCATTATCTTTGTTAGATATAAACTATAATGTAATACACTCACATCAAAGTGCTCATATTATTCCAATTTTTCACCACGTGACATCAATCTATAACTGGAATTCCTACTCTTAACCTCCAAAATTCCTCACATATTAAAGGGGGGTGAATCTTGGCAATCGTGTGTGGGTTTTTTTTGTTTTTTTTTCTTTCATAATCAAATACTCCCCCCAAAAAAGATTATATATATATTCCACCTTATACAAAAGGTGTAATCTAGGTACACCACTAATAAGTAGGTGACTATGGGTGAAAAATAATACTACTTAATAGCCATAAATGGTGCCAACAAACCGTGATAGGATCCCAACTAGACAGTGCTTAACTTCTTGCCGACCGCGCATAGCCGAATGACGGCTTCACCGCGGCCGGCTAGTTCTGAGTGGACGTCATATGACGTCCTCCCAGAACGCGATCTCCGTGATAGCTGTGTCCTACGGACACAGCTGATCACGTGATGTGGTGAAAGGCCGATCCCACCGGCCTTTTACCACGTGATCAGCGGTGTCCAATGACACGCTGATCACAGGGAAATGCAAGTGCCGGTTCTCGGCTGCACTTTCCTCACGCTGTCAGATCGTGAGGAAAGTACTGCCGAGAACCGGCAGTTGTCAGAGCGGGGATCGGCACCGATCATCAGGGCACTGATGATCAGTGCCCTGATGATCGGTGCCCAGCAGTGACACCCGCAAGTTCCGTCCAGCAGTGCGCCCACTAGCCCCGCCCACCCGTTCCCAGCAGTGCCTCCACCGGTGCCCAGCAGTGCCTCCCACCTGTGCCCTGCAGTGCCACCTACCTGTGCCCAGCAGTGCCACCTACCTGTGCCCAGCAGTGCCACCTACCTGTGCCCAGCAGTGCCACCCACCTGTGCCCAGCAGTGCCACCCACCTGTGCCCACCCACCAGTGCCACCCACCAGTGCCGCCCACCAGTGCTGCCAATCAGTGCCACCAGTCAGTGCCCAGGGGTTGTGCCAGTCAGTACCCATCATCAGTGTCGCCTATCAGTGCCGCCTATCCGTGCCACCTCATTAGTACTGCCTATCAGTGCCCTTTAGTACTGCCTATCAGTGCCCATCAGTGCCGCCTCATCAACGCAAATCAGTGAAGGAGAAAAAATACCTGTTTGAAAAATTTTATAAAAGAAACAAACTTTTTTTTTTTCTTCAAATTTTTTGCACTTTTTTTTAATTTATAGCGCAAAAAGTAAAGTGCCCAGTGGCGATTAAGTACCACCAAAAGAAAGCTCTATTTGTGAGAAAAAAATGATCAAAATTTCATATGGGTACAATGTTGCATGACCGCGCAATTGTCAATCAAAGTGCGGCAGCGCTGAAAGCTGAAAATTGGCCTGGTAAGGAAGGGGGTATAAGTGCCTGGTAGGCAAGTGGTTAATAAGCACAAAATAGTGCTGTGATATGAAAAGATGCCGCAAAAGCTACTCTGTTGTAACGGAACCGTTGCTATAGGAAATAAAAGTATATAGACATTCATAGTGTAAATTAACGTGCAGAATAAAACCTGTATATGGTGAAAATAAGCCACAAGGATTATATAACCCAACACAATTTCTAGAGGAAATGATCAAACAGGACAGACAAAATAAGAATATTGATAAACGGATGTGAACCAGATTACAGTGACCCCTAAATAGGGGATAAAGTGGATAAATAATTAAATATGTGACACCAGTATAAAACTGTATATCGTAAAAAATAAGCCAACTCTGTTGCTAGAAAAAAATGATCAGACAGGACATACAAATAAAAGAGGAATATGGATAAATAAATAGAAGTGAACCATATAACAGTGACCCCTAGATAGGGGATAAATAAATTACACACAAAAAAAATGGACCAAACGAAGTCCCAAAAAAACCTATATATATATATATAAAAGACCCAACCTATAATGAATCGCATAAACTCCATGCGGTCCAAAACGCCTAAATCGGTGAAGGTGTTCTATAGTCCTTAAGTTGTGCTGCTATTTTAAAGGTGTATACATAAGAGATCTGCCCCCTCGCCTCCCATGGAGTGACCCTACAGGGTCAAAAACGCCTTTCTCAAACAATATCGCACCAACCTGGGACCAGGACCCAGTTCAGCGATGGATCAATCCCCCTCACTGGTGGATACTGGCAGCAGGAAACCTCTCCAGAGAAATAAATCTAGGTTCAGCCAATCCTATTTTGCTGCTACACCGCGATGTCTTTAGAGCGCAGGTGATCTGGAAACAGGAAGTAAATGACAGGATTATGGTGTGGGGTTGTTTTTCAGTGGATGGGATTGGCTCCTTCATTCCAGTGAAGGGAACTCTTAAGGCGTCCAACATACCAAGACATTTTGGACAATTTCATGCTCCCAACTTTGTGGGAACAGTTTGGGGATGACCCCTTCCTGTTCCAACACCAGTGCACAAAGCAAGGTCATAAAGACATGGATGAGTGAGCTTGTTCAGGTCAGTCAAGTTCCTCCACCCCAGACTCCTGACCTCAACCCAATAGAACAACTTTGGATGAATTAGAGCGGAGACTTTTTTTTTTTTTTTTTTTTTTTTGGGGGGGGGGGGGGGGGGGGGGGGGGGGGGGTTAAAGTTAACCGTTTTACCTGGCCTAGACAAAGTACTTGACATGTGAAATATCTCCAATGGGGGGATTGATGAAAACCTATATTTATTTTATTTTCTTTTGGCTTTGCAGTGTCACGGTGGTGATAAAGTTGCCAAAGCAAGAGAAAATTAAACGGAAGGGTGTTTAGGCCTGAACTGTTTGGTGATTGCAGCAGTTATGCTTGAGTTGGTTCTATTCACAATTTCAAGCTAGTTTAAAAATGTGCTGGGACTTTCAGGTGCTAAATGGATGCATTCCACAAATGTGTAATTTGCTTTTTAAAAATGTTTCATTTTATTAAAATATACAAGTTTAAAAAAAAAAAAACAAAAGAACAAAACACTCTAGGAGGCCTATTGGTGCCTTGGTTCTGTTAACCACAGTACTTTTTTTGCTTGGTGGTTTTTGTGTTTGTGTGTCTCAAGGAACCTGCTTTGTCAGGAACTGTGAAAACTGCATTGTATTGAGCGAAAGTATTGTGGTAACCCCCCCTAAAAATCTAAAATATATTATACTACAAAATGGAAGGATGGAAAATTTTTAATTGACACTGAGCACAAGTGACGCATCTCATTAACTCATTGAAAGTACTGTCCCTGGGGTTGATGACAAAAAAAAAAATACTGTCCTTTTTTAAAATATATATGTGCTTAAGAATTATTTTGTCACTGCTGAAACCTTTTTCTATAGCAGTGATAGCACAGATGGGGAGCCTGAAGAGAAGAGGAGGAAAGTAACCAACGTTGTCATCAGTCAGCCAGCAACTGAGTCCAAAGTATTAATCGATAATGTTCCAGACAACTCTTCCCTGTTTGATGAGGTAATACTTCTCTTCACCAAGACCAATTTCAACCCTGCAAAAAATGTTCTTTGAGTGCTACACAGCTTTTCTTTGCATAGCAGTGTGTAGCAAGCCACTTTGCCTTTATAGCAAAGACTTTATAAACCATATGTGACCAGGTCTGAATCCTTTGTCTCCAGCAATTTAGGTCACCATGACATTGTTTTGTCTCTACTGGGAAAGCTGAGAAACTCCATTACCAGAGTGTATAGGGAGTAAATGTGAGCACCACACTACAGATTTAGGAATGTTCTTAGAAGTCCAAAAACCCCCATTCCAAAATGTTGGGACACCGTGTGTAACATCTACATAAAAACAGAATGCAATGACTTGCAAATCTCAAACTCGTTTTATTCCCAAAAAGAATATCCAACATCTCAAATGTTTAAACACACCAGCTCTAAGACTGAGTACTGAGTGATCAAAGACCATTGATCGCTCAGTTCTCAGTGTTCTGTGTCTGCTCCCTTCCTTTTTTTTTTTTTTTTTTTTTTTTTTTTTTTTGTTGGAATTGAGTCCATGCAGTGATGTTTAGTGCAGAATAATGTTTTTTAATGTAGTGACTTCTGAGGGCCTGAAAATCATGGCAATCCAATATTGCTTTTCTGCCTGATCACTTGTGCACAGGGATTTCTCCAGTTTATCAGAATCTTTTGATGATATTGTGTACTGTAAATGATATATTTGAAGGATAAGTACACCTTAGTGTAACAAGTTACACCTATATTCAGGGTGTAACATAGCGGTGAAACCCAAAATTAAATATCGTGCAAAAGTTCATTTTATTTCAGTAATGCAATTTTAAAAGGTGAAACTAATATGAGACTCATTACATGCAAATTAGAAAATTAGAATATTACATGCAATCAATAAAACCAGGATTGTACATATCAGACCTCTGAAGAGTATAAGCATGCATATGTACTCAGTACTTGGTTTGGGCCCCTTTTGCTGCAATTACTGCTCAGTGTGGTGTGGCATGGAAGCTATCAGCCTGTGGCACTACTGAGGTGTTATGGAAGACCAGGATGCTTCAATAGCTGCTTTCAGCTCTTCTGCATTGTTCGGTCTCATCTTTTTCTCTTGGCAATGCCATGGGGTTCAGGTCAGGCGAGTTTGCTGTCCAATCGAGCACAGTAATCCCACAGTCATTGAACCAGGTTTTGGTGCTTTTGTCAGTGTGGGCAGGTGCAAAGTCCTGCTGGAAAATGAAGTCAGCATCTCCATAAAGCTAGTCTGCGGAAGGAAGCATGAAGTGCTCCAAAATCTCCTGGTAGACGGCTGCGTTGATGCTGGACTTAATGAAGCACAGTGGACCAACACCAGCAGATGACATGGCTCCCCAAATCAACACAGGTTGTGGAAACTTTACACTGGACTTCAAGCATCTTGCAGTGTGTGCCTCTCCATTCTTCCTCCATATTCTGGGTCCTTGGTTTCCACATGAGATGCAAAAGTTGCACTCATCAGAAAAGAGGACTGTGGAACACTGAGCAGCAGACCAGGTCTGTTTTTTTTTTCTTTAGCCCAGGTAAGACGCTTCTGACGTTTTGTTGTTCAGGAGCAGCTTGATAAGAGGAATACGACATTTGAAGCCCATGTCCAGGATCCGTCTGTGTAGTGGCTCTTGATGCACTGACTCCAGCCTCAGTCCACTCCTTGTGAAAGTCCCCAACACTTTTGAATGGCCTTTTCCTGATAATCTTCTCCAGGCTGTGGTCATCCCTGCTGCTTGTGCACCTTTTTTTTTCTTCCACACTTTTTTTTTTTTTTTCCCTTTTGAGGCTTTCCCTCCTTATGGAGGGTGTCCATGACTGTTTTCTGCACAACTGTCAGGTCAGCAGTCTTTCCCATGGTTGTGATTCCTACTGAACCAGACTGAGAGACCATTTAAAGGCTCAGGAACCCTTTGCAGGTGTTATGGCTTAATTAGCTGATTAGAGTGGGACACTTTGAGCCTAGAATATTGCACCTTTTCACAATATTCTAATTTTCTGAGATTGTGGATTTGGGGTTTTCATGAGCTGTAAGCCATAATCATCACAATTATGACAAATAACGGCTTGAACTATCTTGCTTTGCATGTAATGAGTCTATCTCATATATTAGTTTCACCTTTTTAAGTTGCATTACTAAAATAAATGAACTTTTACACGATATTCTAATTTTTTTGAGTTTCACCTGTATTTGTATGACGATTTAAAACAGTTTATTGATATTAATGATTTATTTTTACTCAGAATCCCAAAGGCTTTTTTTTTAATTTTGACTTTTGCACGATATTCTATTTTTTCGAGTTTTACCTGTTTTACAAATGTACCAGCTTTGGGTTTGAGATGTGCAAACCATTGCTTTCTGTTTATGTAGATTTCAGTGTCCCAATTTTTTTTGCAATTGGGGCTGTATTTCAAGGGCTACAGTGCTCTCCCTTTATCACGACTTAAAGTGCTGCTTTAAAAAGAATAGGTTTGCATGAGTTAAAAATGAAGGTGATCAATTCAGGTATTTGCTGTTTAGGAAGAGCTGAAGCCACAGGAAAAAAACTTTGCTAAATCGCACCTACAAGATCACAGAAAGCAAGAAAAACTTGACAAACTGTTGTTCTTCAGAAGATTATCTAAAACAAAATCGTTTGGGTTGGATAGTAGACTTTAAATCCCCTATCTGTTACATTAAATACCAGATGCATATCTAACTCTTCTAAATGGATTTCTCGAATGACGTTTCCTGTGAAGAATAGGACAAAGCTGCACGGTGCATGTTGGCCCTATCGCATACTAAGCTTGGGAAGATATTTTACAATCTGTCCAAATTGCATGGATCATAATATGACCCGTGTATTCCCTACAGTTTATCGTACCACTCTATTTTTACAAAGTTTGGTGCTAGAGCTGACTTTTGTTATGATGGATGTAGGCATCTGAATGGTTCTTTTATCCATCTTTTGTGCTGCTCTAAACTGGAGAAATACTGTGCAGAGGTTGTGGGCATTTTAAATGGTCTTTGGTACCAATTTGTCAGTAGAACCTCCTACATGCCTCTTCGGTTATGTTTTGACATCTTATGATTTTCTATGAGTATGATGTCTTCTATAGATGTGTATTTAAGTTACTCTAGTTTCTAGAGTTCTATTTGTTGCCCATAGAATGATTGGTTTGAAGTGGACCTCACTTTGCCCACCATCATTCAGAAATGATTACTGACCTTAATAAATATATTCCTTTTGGAAAAGCTTACCTACTATTTTTGCAATGCATGTCTAAATATGAAGCAATTTGGTCTCACTGGACGGATTGTATAATGTCAGACATTGCCTGAGACAGGCGTTACTGGCATTGATTTTATGTTTATTAAGCCAACAATGATGATTATGGTTTGTATTAGTATGCATTACAACCTGAATTTTTAAACCATTAGAAAGCTGTTAAAGACTGCACTGTTAAAGGGTGAGTGGCTTTTTGTGTTGTTTTTTTTGTTTTTTTTCTTCTATATTTTGTTCCACCAATGTTGCTGGTTCTTGTAAAAAGCCTTTTTTTCTAAATAAAATCTGATTTTATTAAAATTTTTTAAATCTGAAATTTTACATTTTGCAATAGTGGTACACTTAAACGCAAACTTCTAGCACATTTCAGAAGTCTGTGCAAAAGCGATGTAATATACTGATCAAGGTTTCTTTCACCTTCTCTTCAGACCAACGAGTGGCCCCTGGAAAGCTTTTGTGAAGAGCTCTGTAATGATCTATTTAACCCATCTTGGGAGGTAGGTTGACATTGTTGATTTACCTTTTCTGCATGAATGGCATCAATCTAAATGTAGTTTTTCATATTTGACAGCTAGCAAAGGCCCTTTTAAGAATTGTGGGGGGGGGTTTTAATGTTTAAAGCATCTTCAGTCTTACAAAAATGGATTGTAAACCGGCTGTGGGGTGTTTTTTAAAACTGAGTTAAATTACTTGTAAAACCAGACACCTAACATTTAATTGTTCAAGAAAATAAATGGCTAAAATAAGTCATGTTGTGAACCATGCTTACAAAATATGCATAGGGAATATTAGTAAGAATTCTCATTGTGTCAAAACTGTATACAAAAATCAAAGTTATCCAAAAACTATCAATGTTTCTGCCACCATTTTTTGCCCTAAAATATAGAGCCAATGAATTAACCACAAGGATCGCTTTTCTTTGTTTCATTTTAAAATTAACTCCTCCACATATAAAGACAAGCCACAATATATCTGATGTCAACACTATATCAAAGAGACCAATGGGCACAACTCTATATTTTATAGTTTCTAAAATTGGCTATGTCAGCTGCACACATTTTTACTCAGTTGACAGTCCAAATTGAGTCTCAAAAGTATTTTTTTAATATTCTGATTTGAACAATCTGATTCAATCTCCTTTAGTGTAGAGTCCAAATGAACAAATGCAAAACTGAGCAGGGCTTGGGGTTTTAAATTTTTTTTTTTTTTTTTTTTTTTTTTTTTTTTTCCACCCCCTTTGATTTTTTTTTTTTTTTTTTTCTTTCCTCCACCCCTTATGATTTTTTTTTTTTTTTTTTTTTTAATAGGTACGACATGGAGCAGGTACTGGTCTCAGAGAGATCCTTAAGACCCATGGGAAAAGTGGAGGCAAGATAGCAGACAGCACACGTGAAGAGGTATGCGATTGCCAAGCACTGCAACCGAAAGTGATTTCATAATAGCAGAAAGCCAGCTGTACTATGGAGAACTTTTGCATGTGTTCAGTTCATTGATGCAATACATTAAATTTTGTTATTCTTCCAAGGATAATTTAATTCCCCATTCCCATAGATGGAGCAGCAACATCAGGAGTGGTTGGAGGATCTGGCTATTCGTCTCCTTTGTGTGTTTGCATTAGATCGATTTGGAGATTTTGTCTCAGATGAAGTAAGGTTATTTAATTTTTTTGGTTTATAAGCTACCAACCAAATGCCACTCACGCTGCATGATCATTATGGTTAGATATAGACTGTGTGGTTTTGTTTTTTTTTTTTTTTTTTTTTTTGTTTTTTTTTTTTAAACCAGTGGTTTAATCAATCAATTCAATCAATTTTTGTGTTTTTTCAAGTTTGGACCAATTATGATTTGAGTGCATTCATGTTGACACAGCACTGTTGAAAAATGTCTGCTCCAGGGACTTAAAGGGTTAGCTGTCTACCAGAAAACTTGACAGGGAAAGAAGGCGCCTCTAAGTGTAGTATTGGCGGTTTATTAACATAAAGATAAAATTCCACTTACAGGAAGTCAAAACATGACAGGTTCATCATAGTAAATTCTACCGATGTTCCTGGTGGTATGGGTAAAGGGCCGTCCAGTGGCAGCGATGTTGGAACTAAGATGGCTGTAGAACCTCGGGAGGAGTATTGGAACACCTACATCGGAAGTGACGTAAGGTGGGGGCAGTAATGCGTTTCGGAGCATGCGCAAAGGGCTCCTTCATCAGACCTGTTTGGCTTCCCTATCCTTGATATCCATTCTGGTACACCGCTAGTGGCTACAGAGGTCTGCTCCAGCAGAAGTGCCCTATGGACTATACACTTTACCAAAAAACTGTCTATGCAGATGAGGGGCACCTGCAGATAACAAACTATGCAGCATTGGCTAAAGTTGATTACTATAGTTGTAGGCCATTTGCGTACCTCCTGAAGCCTGGCAGGCTGTTGTCAAAGCCACTAAACGTTTGGAGAAACAGGACCTAAATCTAAAGAGTATTCCCCCACCTCTTACACTCATGGATACCTCTTAAGCAGCGAGATTGTTGCGAAGTGATTATAAGACAGTGGTTCTTAGACTCATGTTTTAAAATGATACTGAAGTAAACTTTTTTTTTTTTTTTTTTTGTCGTCTTGAAATAGATGTTATACATGCCTGCTTTTGTGCAACGATTTTACAGAGCAGTTCCTTACCCATTCTTTGGCATTCCCCAGCTCCTTCTTCCTCTGGGTGCTGTGCTGGTACTCATGCATGTGCTCTACTGATCCAAGCTGTGTGTGTCATAGCCACACACAGCACCAGTAAGCCATGTCTCCACTCCTTCCTCACAGGATTTGACTGACTGTGAAACCAGGAAGAGGAGAATGGTACTGGATCAGTGTTTGGGTGAGTTTTGTAAAGGTTGTCTTGCTGTACTTTACTAGCTGGTGTCACAGTAGGCAATGGAGGGGGTGAGGAGGGATTAAATCATCTGTCAGGTTTTTTTTGTTCCTTTCCCCATTAGGGATATTTTACCCTCTCCAGCAAAAAAGAAAAGAATCTAATGGGGACCCAGGTTCTAGTGACATTGGTAACAGCTGGGAATATCCTCCCTTCGGAGGGATTTTCTCTCCCTTCTTTAAGTACTGGCAAACAATGGTGACCATACATATAAATTCAATGATTTTCTTCCCCAAGGTGGTCGCCCCTGTTCGGGAAACTTGTGCCCAGACGCTGGGAGTGGTCCTTAAACACATGAATGAAAGTGGAGTGCTGAAGACAGTGAAAATCCTCCTACGTTTATTAACGCAGGAGCAGCAGTGGGAAGTGCGACATGGAGGACTGCTAGGCATAAAGTATGCTCTCGCTGTTCGCCAGGTATTCAGTTGGTGACCTTTTTTCCTTACACTTTTTTTTTTTTTTTTTTTTTTTTCCTGCCTGTTGGCTAACAAATGTTCAAACTACATTCATTTTAGATGACCATTTTTTTCTTATGGCTGTTTTACAGGATCTGATTAAGACTTTATTACCTAAAGCACTACCGGCAATAATTGAAGGTCTTCAGGACCTTGATGATGATGTGCGTGCAGTAGCAGCTGCGTCTTTAGTGCCTGTTGTAGACAGTTTAGTTAAGCTACAATTTAAGCAGGTAAGTTGTTTGTGTTTTTTTTTTTTTTTTTTTCCACACTGCATAAAATTTAGCTGAAATTTTGTGTTTTGACATGAAATCCCTTTCATTTTGGAGATATAGACTGTCCTAATTAAAAGCATTAATTTTAAATCTTTATCAAAGCCACAAAGGATATAGATCCACTGTTGAAAGCATGACTACTTTTTACTAGACGTTATTTAGCTTTGCATCGCTGTGCTGCACATAGTCGGAGCAGAGCTAGAAGCGGGGCATATACAAGACTAGTTACTCTGGTGCATTGGTTGACAGTTGGCAGAGCCCATTCAGTAAAGAGAACTGAACATGGAACAATAAATATTTACATATAATCATCTTTTTATTAGGTTCCTTTTATTCTCAGCACTTTATGGGATGCACTTCTGGAGTTAGATGACCTCACAGCTTCTACCAACAGTATCATGACCCTCCTCTCTTCCCTGCTTGCTTATCCTCAGGTTCAACAGTGCAAGTAAGTTGACAAAGCTTTCTTTCTGTAACAAGAAACTCTGGTTAATTGGACAAATGTTATCGTCCCCCCCCCTCCTTTCACCGGTGTTTTATAACATGTTATTCAAGAGGTCTAAAGGGATACTTAATTGTTCTAACAGTTGATTTATGTGTGTTTCCTGTTTCTTTGCAGTGTTCAGCAATCTCTTACAATATTGGTGCCACGAGTGTGGCCTTTCTTGCGTCATACGATCTCCTCTGTTCGGAAGGCAGCTCTAGAAACATTATGCACTTTGTTATCTACACAGGACCAGGTTAGTGAGTAAGAATATAGTGGAGTTTTGAGCTTTGCACTGAAACTAATGAGAAATGACTACTGGTTCCTAACTATTTCTACTAATTTCTGTGGAGTGCTCTAAAAGTATATACAGGCATACCTCAGTTTGCCAATTTAATTCTGCGGGATTTTTCGTACAGCGAAAAATTCGTAAACCGAAACGCCGTTTGTTATAGGAATGCATTGAAAACCAATCCATTCCGGAGGTCAGGAAAAAAGTAAACACTACTCAAATACCGCATGAGTTATTTTATCAAGTCATGCGGTATTTTAGTAGACAACCATGTGTTAATGTTTCATCTGTCAGCGGGGTTCCCCACTGACAGCTGAATGTAAAAGAATGGCTGGCAATTAAAAATAAAATGGCTGGGGTCCCCTTCCACCCATTCCAAGCCCTTTTGGGTCTGGTATGGATTTTGAGGGGAACTCCCACACCAAAATGTAAAAAATGGGGGGGGGGGGGGGGGGAGAAGCGGGGGGACCAGACCCTTATCTGAGCATGCAAGTCAGGAAAGAGCTGGGGGAGACTAGCAAGCGCCCCCTCTCCTGAACCATACCAGGTCACATGCCCTCAAATTAGGGGTGGTTGTGGGGGTCTGCGGGCAGGGTGCTTATCACGATATCTGCTGGGTGTCCCCGCCCATTACATATTTAAGAACTGTCAAACCACTGGAGCAGGCAGATGGCTATCATCGGGAGCAGAGCCTTTTTCTCATTCTTTCTTCGGGGCAGCGGCCATCGTCATTCAAGTTGGATTTTTTTTCCCCTGCCTAGAGTCCTACTCCTTTAGGTGGGGCTATATAACCCGTTTCCTCATGGAAAAAGAGGAGAGTGTGTCCGTCAACAAAATCCTGTTTTCTATTTTGACCCTTAGGAATTAAATCTTGGGCAAGATCCAACACCAGTTGGTTGTTCATTGGCACGTTAACCCTTTAACCACTTGCCTACCGGGCACTTATACCCCCTTCTTCACCAGGCCAATTTTCAGCTTTCAGCGCTGTTGCATTTTGACTATTGCGCGGTCTTGCAAGATTGTACCAATATAACATTTTTATAATTTTTTTTTTTTCTCACAAATAGAGCTTTTTTTGGTGGTATTTAATCGCAGCTGGGCGCTTTACTTTTTTGCGCTATAAACAAAAAAAGTGCAAACAATTTGAAAAATTTTATAATGGAAACAAAAATTTTTTTATCTTCAAACAGATAATTTTTTTTCTCCTTCACTGATGGGCGGCACTGCTGGGCATCGATCATCAGGGCACTGATCATCCGTGCCCTGATGATCGGTGCCGATCTCTGCTCTGACAACTGCCGGTTCTCGGCAGTACTTTCCTCACGCTCTGACAGCGCAAGGAAAGTGCAGCTGAGAATCGGCAATTGCATTTCCCGGTGATCAGCATGTCATTGGACATGGCTGATCATGTGGTAAAAGGCCACTGTGATTGGCCTTTTACCACATCACGTGATCAGCTGTGTCCGTAGGACACAACGATCACGGAGATCGTGGGGGGCGCGCAGGAGAGCGCGTTCTGGGAGGACGTCATATGACGCCCTCCCAGAACTGGCTCCTTTTTTTTTTTTTTTTTTTTTATATGCATTTTTAGCCTCCTTTTGGGAGCTCAAACTAATGCTTACGAATGAAATGTAAATGAAAGTCATGTTACATATGCACACTGCTTGATTCCAGTCTTCCTCCTCCTTGTGTTCCAGAACTGTTCAGGTTGGCTAACCCCCATCTTGCAAGACATGCTGCGGCATATATTTCAGCTTTGTATTCTGGAGAGTAACCAAGAAATTCTTAACCTTATCCATAAGGTAACATGTCTTGCTGTGGGGACTGCTGCAATAGATGTTCACCTGGCTTGTTGTAAATATATGCTTTTATTTTCACAGTTGTGGCAGGAACTGATTACCAAAGCATCTGTGCAGTACGTAGTGGCCGCTGCCTGCCCGTGGATGGGAGCATGGCTGTGTTTAATGATGCAGCCAGCTCATCTGCCTATTGAATTAAATATGCTGCTAGAGATCAAACCCAAGTCAAAGGTGAGGTAAAGCGGTAGTTATGTTGGATGTTAACCGCCTCCGAAAAATGTAAAGCCACGGGTCATCTGGTATAAGTACTGATGTTTATGCATGTATGTACAAACCCATTAAAGGCAAAGGTTGGCATTCATATCTGACTCGCACTCACTCTCTCTGCCTGAACGCCTGTCTGTCTTGGCACCAGTGTGCAAGAGCCCTAAAAGTGCAGGCAGGGGCGGACTGACCATTTGGAAACTTGGGCACTGCCCAAGGTCAGTAGTGGGCCCCATGAGATGCCTCTGGTACCTTTTTTCATAGGCTTTTTTGAGTTTGGGCAAGGACACTGGCCCCATGATCCCCTATTGCCCGGGGGCCCCATGAGTTGTCAGTCTGCCCCTGAGTGCAGGGTGTATTGATCCCAGCCTTAGACCCTCTTCATAGCCAGGAAATGAAATAACAGTATTGTGCTGCTGAGAGTCAGAATTAAGTTTTGGGCAGAGTGGAAAGGGATTACTACACATGTCAAATTTTATCCTGGTCTGTTTTGTCCTGTTTACATTGTCATTGAAAGAGTAGGGAAAAAAAAATTAACATTTTTTAGTTAAGACGTAATAGAGGGGAAATCTTCCAATGGGGACACTAGTTCTGGTGACCTGGTGGGTCCCCAAGAGATTTCCTTAATTTGCAGGGTTTTCCTCACACTTCCTGTTTTGAGACCGGAAGTGAAGGGAAGTTTCCCCAAAGAAAACACAGATGGCAAAAAATAAACTGATTAAAGGTTATAACCTTTTTTTTTTTTTTTTATGCAAATTCAGAAAAAAAAGTTTGCCTATAGTTCTACTTTAAGCATAGAATTTAATCTGTGCACTTGCTTTAGCAAAAGAACGCAATTGTAAAACATAATAAGAATGGAGCTTAATGTCTGGTTAGCATGTCTATTAAAGACAAGCTTGTACACAAAGGTAAAGAAAATCTAAGCTTTATATTGTTACCCCAGTAAACCACTTTATACCTAAACTGTCTGCCCCTAATAAAAACTGAGAACATGGACTTGTAGGTAAACCCAATCACTAATCTGTAGCACTAAGCTGCAACCAATAATGTAATATGTTTAATTTAGAAAAGGCATTGCATTGGGGTTGGGTCGTGTCTACATAATGACTCTATAGGCTGTATATGCCCTTTTTGTTGACAAATAGGTGAAATCTATATATATGTTTTTTATCTCCTTCATAGGAAAAGGCAGGTGGTAAATTGCGTCAAGGTCAGGGCCAGGCAAAAGAAGTCACCCAGGAGTATATTGCTGGCTCAGACAGTGTCACTGAGGACTCTGCCACCAGGGACTTTGTGGTTACACGAGCTCGTATAGCTGCTGCAAGGTCAGCAAACCCCTGTTATAAGCAGATCTATTATAGACCTGTTAGAACACATGCTTTTTGAAAAAAAAAAGCTGTATTTTCACTGATATCTGGCTGTTCCAATTTTAGACTGCTTGGATCGTTGTGCTGCTGTATCTGTGATCCTGCTGTAAATGCACCTTCTCAGGAGATCAAACCTGCTGAATCCCTAGCCCAGCTGCTTCTCTTCCATCTTAACTCCAAGTCTGCCTTACAGCGGATCAGTGTGGCCCTTGTGGTTTGTGAATGGGCAGCCTTGCAAAAGGTAATATAATAAGGCCAGGGTGTGTTTTCTTTGTTTTTTTTTTTTTTTTTTTTTTTTTTTTTTTACTGGTCCAACTTTTTTGGAATTGAGGTTGTAGATTAACATCCCTGAAGTGATTAGGACCCAAGAGGTACTCTGGAACAGAGTTCAAAAATCCACCACATCTCACGATCCTACATCTCACAACCCAACAGTCTCTGTAAATCACTCTCTATTTGTTGAGAATGGTGGTGCCGACTTTCCTTTCTAGAGACTTTACATTGGATGGCTTACAGAAGCTAAGGTTGTGCAGCAGCATCTCTTGTTGATTTGGTTTGAATGAGAAGGTTTGAGTACTGTATTTCTTTGTGATTAATAAACATACATGGCATCAGCAGGTCTGTCATATATTATTTTATAATAGTGAAAGATCAGTTATAACTGCTCTGATCCGCTGCATGATCTTTTGCTATTATGAATGAACAGCAATGTTGGGGCTGGTGCTGTGTGTGAGACAGCTGTATAGTATTGTTGCTCCCAATTACTCAGTGCTGCAGGGCTATGTGCGCTATCTGCTCTGCAGCACTAAATCTGTTGTGATTGGCAGTGTTGGTCTCCAGAGTGGTCCCTCTTGCCAGAGACCAGCAGCTCTGCCCCAGCAACTTCCCTTTCCAATGAATGTACCCAAACTAGCTACTGAGGCCGTTTTTTAATACTACTTAGGTTTTTAGTTGTATTGGTCAGGCTTGCTTTAAGGACTGTCCATGGCTAGATGATTGCATGTTTGTTGGTACTTGGATCTGTCTGTGGTCACCTGCTATACTTTATCTTGTGTCTTACAGTTAATAAGTCCCACTGGGCACAAGTCTATTGTAATATAACAAAGGGTTATCACATTAGCTGATTAAACATCTGTTGCAAAGAAACATGTGACGCTCTGTATAAAGTTGTTAGTTTTGGGATGACAAATGTGAACCTATTCAGAGGCCTGGCTGCCTCTTTTAGAGATTTTAACACCGTGTTGCTTCATGGCAAACATGGAGGCGAAAAAAGGGAAACCCAAGCAAATAGCTACATACAGTGCAGGAAATAAGTATTTGATCCCCTGCTGATTTTGAATGTTTGCCCACTCCCAAGGAAATGGTCAGTCAAAAAATCGAATGGTAGGTGTAATGTAGCACTGAGACAGAATAGCAACAACAAATTCAAAAGAAATGCATGTCTAACAAAGTGTGCACTGATTTGCATGTTCATGAGGGAAATAGGTATTTGATCCCCTTCACAAAACATGACTTAGTACTTGGTGGCACATCCCTTGTTGGCAATTAGAGGTCAGATGTTTCCTGTAATTGGCCACCAGGTTTGCACACCTCTCAGGAAGGATTTTGGCCCATTCCTCTTGGCAGATCCTCTGCAAGTCATTAAGGTTTGGTGGCTGACATTTGGTAACTCAAACTTTCAGCTCCCTCCACAGATTTGAAATCTGATTAAGGTCTGGAGACTGGCTAGGCCACTCCAGGACCTTAATGTGCTTCTTCTTGAGCCATTCCTTTGTTGCCTTGGCCTTGTGTTTTGGGTCATTGTCATGCTGGAACATCCATCCACGACCCATCTTCAATGCCCTGGATGAGGGAAGAGGGTTCTCACCCACAATTTGATGGTACATTGCCTCGTCCATTTGATGCGGTGCAGTTGTCCTGTCCCCTTAGCAGAAACACCCCTAAAGCAGAATGTTTCTACCACCATGTTTGACAGTTGGGATGGTGTTCTTGGGGTCATAGGCAGCATTCCTCCTCCTCCAAACATGGCGAGTTGATGCCAAGGAGCTCGATTTTTGTTCTCATCTGACCACAACACTTTCAACCAGTCCTCCTTTGCATCATTCAGATGTTCAGTGGCAAACTTCAGATGGGCCTGGACATGTGCTTTCTTGAGCAGAGGGACCTTGCGGGCACTGCAGGATTTCAATCTTTGTCTGTGTAGATACCAGTTGTTTTCTTGGTGACTGTGGTCCCAGCTGCCTGGAGATTATTGACAAGATCCCCAGGTGTAGTTCTGGGATGATTCCTCACTGTTCTCATGATCATTGACACTCCACGAGGTGAGATCTTGCTTGGTGCACCAGACCTAGGGAGACTGACAGTTGTTTGTGTTTCTTCCATTTGCGAACGATTGCACCAACTGTTGTCACCTTCTCACCAAGCTGTTTGGCGATAGTTTTGTAGACCAGTCCAGCCTTGTGTAGGTCTACAATCTTGTTCCTGACATCCTTAGATAGCTCTTTGGTCTTTGCCATGGTGGAGAGTTTGGAATCTGATTATTTGTTTAATTGCTCCTGTGGACAGGTGTCTGTTATACAGGTAACAAAATTAGATTAGCAGCACTCCCTTTAAGAGACTGCTTCTAATCTTAGCTTTTTACCTGTATGAAAAACACCTGGTAGCCAGAAATCCTCCTGAATGATAGGGGATCAAATACTTATTTCCTTCACTGTATATAATAAATAATAAAAAACCTTGCGCTGAATGCGTTCTCAAGTATAACCTATACATGTATCTCTTTAATGATAATTAACAATGATAAATGAATATCAAACACTGCTGCCACCTTAAATAGCTGAAAATAAAAACAAAAACTCAATGTATAGTAGCTGTGAACTAATAAACAAAACACCTTCTACAGTGACATTGTGAATAGTGAAACAAAACTAGAACTTAAAATCCTATAATGTAAATCCGTCCAATACTGTGAAATAATAAAGTCCATTATATCATGTGGATGTCACGTCCAGTGTTTTAATCTTCCTGTTTACTATCAAAAACCAAAATCCCCACGTGCTCGTGTGATAGCCTTCCCTTTTTAGGTATGCACTCACCAGACCCACATGCCTCCCACTCATGGTTGGCATGTATTGCTTGTTAAATCTCCAGTTGTGGTATTGCCATGTAAACTTCATAGGCTTCATAAACCTCCTTACTCCTCTCCACCAGGTATCATGAAAAAGTTAAATATGTGCTCCAGTGGTACAGTAAACAATACTCTCCGTTTTATGAAATAAGTTTAAAAAAACACTCACAAAATGTAAACTAACAAAAAAATGCTCATCTTCCAATGAAATGGCATCACAAATGCAAGTGAAAAAACGCTTTATCATATTCCAATGAAATGGCATCAGATGTAGGTATCGTGCTCTCACCACTGCCGGATCTCTCAGAAATGGCTCTCCCGAGTCATTTCTGGCTCCTAACGTCACTTCCGGTCGCCGCACATGGTTTCGTCCCTTCCACCTTAGTCATAGTGGATTGATTTACATTATATGATTTTATAGTTTTGTTTCACTATTCACTGTAGAAGGTGTTTTGTGTATTCACAGCGCCACTAGACAATTTGTATTTTTTATTTTCAGCTACATATACAGATGAAATACGGTTTCACCTGCCAAGTTACATAGTCTGGCTAAAAAATACAAGTCCATCCAGTTCAATCAAAAAAAAAAAAAGTTATAATCCTACACCCACAGTTGATCCAGAGGAAGGCAAAAAAAACCAGCAAAGCATGATCCAATTTGCTCCTGCAGGGGAAAAAAATTCCTTCCTGATCTCCCGAGAGGCAATTGGATATTCCCTGGATCAAGTTTACCTATAAATGTTAGTATCCAGTTATATTCTGTGTATCCAAGAGAGAATCCAGGCCCTTTTTTTTTTTTTATATATAAAAACAATCCACTGAACTGGCCAGAACCAACTCTTGAGGGAGTCTATTCCAAATTTTCACAGCTCTTACTGTGAAGAAACCTTTCTGTGTTTGGAGATTACATTTCTTTTCCTGCAGATGTAGAGTGCCCCCTTGTCCTCTGTGATGACCTCAGGGTGAATAACTCTACACCGAGTTCACTATATGAACCTCTGATGTATTTATACATGTTGATCATATCCCCCCTTAATCTCCTCTTCTCAAGAGAGAATAAATTCAGTTCCTCTAATCTTTCCTCATAGCTGAGCTCCTCCATGCCTCTTATCAGTTTGGTTGCCATTCTCTATACTTTCTCCAGTTCCTCAATGTTTTTTGTGAATTGGTGCCCAAAACTGAACTGCATATTCCAGATGAGATATTACTAATGATTTGTACCGGGGTAATATGATATCTCTCTCTCTGGAGTCTATACCTCTTTTAATACAAGAGAGGATTTTGCTCGCTTTAGAAACCGCAGCTTGGCATTGCATGCCATTATTAAGCTTGTGATCTCCCAGATCTTCTCTCCACCATAGATTCCCCCAGTTGCACCCCCCCCCCCCCCCCCCCCCCCAGTATGTATGATGCATGCATATTCTTAGCCCCCAGGTGCATAACCTTACATTTATCAACATTAAACCTCATAACCTCATTTGCCACATAGTTGCCCAATTAACCATTAGCCGCCCAGCCTATAGCCGTTTGGCGGCCGCAAAAATGCATTTGGTGTGACCAATCACAGCAGGTCACATGAGTTGTATACAATGGATGGCTTCGTTCATGCCATCCATTGTATACTAGTTTGGGTACAATGTTGTAGGACCGCGCAATTGTCATTCAAAGTGTGAGAGCGCTGAAACGTGAAAAATGGCCTGGGCAGGAAGGTGTAAAATTGCCCGGTATTGAAATGGTTAAACAGTGCATTGAGGTCGTCTTGTAAGTTGGAGACATCCTGTAAGGACGTTATTCCACTGCACAGCTTGGTGTCATCTGCAAAGACTGAAATGGGATTTATAATCCCAGACCCCCTATATCGATTATAAATATATTAAAGTAAGGGTCCCAACACTGAACCTTGGGGTACACCACCGATGACCCCAGACCATTCAGAGTATGAATCATTACCTACTACTCTCTGAATACAATCTATTAGCCAGTTTTCATACATATGGATTTTTCCAAGCCCGTAGACTTTACCTTACACATTACCTATGTGTGGGGAAATGTGTCAAACGCTTTTGCACAATCCAAGTATATCACATCCACGCCACCCCACTCTCCAAGGTTTTGCTCACCCCCTCATAAAAATAAAACTGATTTGTTTGACAACGTCTGTTTTTCATGAATCCATGCTGTCTTTTACTTAAAATATATTTTGTAGTATATTACAGTATGTAGATCTGTACAGTCAGTCCTTGAATTTTCCACACTGCACCACCAGGCAAGTGACTTGTGTAGATCCTAGTTAAGCAGGGCAGTTTCTTGTCACCTCTCTGCCTCTCTACTCGAATATTAGACAATGAATTGGTATCATCGCCTTTGTCCTGAGAGCAGGGAGAAGTTAAACCAGAAAGTGGCTTTTATTTTACAGACTAGCAGATGGGTCTTTTAAAATCCCCAATAATTTTGGCAGGTAAAACATTTATTTTATTTCCGGTACTTGTATAGCGCTGTCAATTTACGCAGCGCTTTACACATATATATTGTACATTCACATCAGTCCCTAACCCTCAAGGGGCGTGCAATCTAAGGTCCATAACTCACATTCATACATACACATACTAGGGACAGTTTAGACCGGATCCAATTAACCTATCAGCATGTCTTTGGAGTGTGGGAGGAAACCGGAGTACCTGGAGGAAACCCGCACAGGGAGAACATGCAAACTCCAGGCAGGTCGTGCCGTGGCTGGGATTCGAACCAATGACCCGAGTACTGCCAGGCGGAAGTGCTAACCATTTAGCCACTGTGCTGCCCAATGTAAAACATTGCGTAATGTGTAAAACATTAAGCATCTATGAACAGAGGTGTCCCGTGGTTTGTTTGTTTGTCTTGTTTCGGTTTCTGGGGTACCATATTAAGTTTGTCAGATTATTTTGAGTTTTTCTCTTCTATGGTTATACAGCTTTTGTTTCTGTCTGTATAGGAATGCCGAACGGTATCCCTTGCAATCCAGCCACGTCTGCTTGCTGTTCTTTCAGAGCATCTGTATTATGATGAAATAGCAATCCCTTTTACCAGGATGCAGAATGAGTGTAAGCAGTTAATCTCCTCCCTGGCTGATGCTCAAATTGACATCCGGAACAGAGTAAACTGCAGCGTATTCACCATCGACCAAGCTAATGATCTGGTGAGTGTGTCCTGTGGACTTCAGGGAAGAATGTCAAACTGCTGAGCCAAAAATAGCTGAAAGTACTGTATTTGGGGATTGTACTTGGCTGCTGGTTCGTGACTTTTACCACATCACCATACTGAAGTAACATTGCAGAGAACAGAATATTAAAGGAGATGTCACATTTAGGAATATGTCCAGTCATGTTTCTTTGACAATACAAGGAAAGGTATCCTTCGAAGGTTACAGCTTAACCTTTTTAGTAGACTGTGTCTTTTGATTTTGGTATTTTGCTACATTTTAATCCGAATAGATGGAGATTATATGTTCCAAACAATGCCATGAAAATGACTTTTCTTCTATTTGCTTTAAAATGTTTTACTAGACAGTCTACCATTTTCTGGGTCATGTTAATTTAATGGAACTGCCAACACCAGAGAACTCTTCATAGTTCTTCTGTCGAGCTTTGCCCATGAATGATGTATCCATTATTTAATGGTGGCAGGTGAGGGAAATTGGTGTGGGACTGCAAAGAGAGGGAAGGGGGTACCTAATCAAAAGGGATGATATGGTTTGTAGTTTTTTACCTTCCCATCCATGGCAGCCATATCCTCTGAAATTTCTTCGTACAATATCTACTCTTTAGAAGTTAATTCATACATAGAGCAATCTTGAGATTAACCATTTTTTTGTGATTAACCTCTATTTCCTCATGCATGCCCAGAAGGGCTAAAGCTGGGTTTTATGGTAGGGGTGAGTGTTAGTGGTTGCAAACCTTTACATATACCCAGTGAAGTGACTGGCCTCAGGTGATATACAGAGATGAAACCAAATCCCCCTACGTAAATTGTACCGGTTTATCTGCAGTCTTTAACTCCATTCAGTGTCCAGAGTTTATAAAGCTTGTTTGAGCTTTCATAAAATGGGTGTGGAAAGCTGAAATTACACACTGCATGAGGAGAGCTCTGAGAGTTGGAGGGAAGAGAGACATCCTCCCCCTGCATACTGGAACAGAGTTTGCTGGAGGTCCCTCCCCGTCCACTTTTTTTTTTTTTTTTTTTTTTTTTTTTTTTTTTTCTTTCTTGGTATCAGGAACACTTGTCAGAAGTGATTCATGCTGATAGCAGAGGAACAAAGCAGGAGAAAAAAATAGCACTTGGTGCTCTTAATTGAGACAGGTACACATTATAGAGGGTTATGCTTTGCTCATATTTCATGTCCGAGGTTTACAACCACTTGAGAATATCGCAGACCTCTAGCTAAACCACCCCTCTGGGCAGGTAAGTGCATAGTAAATCTGGCTAGCCCTGGCTATCTCACAGGTGTACTGCTGACTTTTACATGGACTGTTTCCTCTTTAACCTATTTGTAACTCTTTACTTGTCCTTAGGTCACTACCGTGTTCAATGAAGCAACAGCTGTTCTGCGAGGGGATATTAAAGCTTTCCAGATCTTGGATGCAAAAAGACAGCAAGTTCAAATGACTGTAGTGGAAACCAACCAGGAATGGCAGGTGCTGCAGCTGAGAGTACACATGTTTGCAGCTTGTGCAATCATCAGCCTCATGCAGCTGCCTGAAAAGCTCAATCCTATAATTAAACCATTAATGGAGGCTGTGAGAAAGGAAGAAAACACTGTGGTGCAAAACTATGCAGCCTTGTGTATTGCTAAACTCTTACAACAATGCATCTCAAGGACTCCTTCTCCAAACCACAAAATATTGAAAAATCTTTGCAGCTCTGTGTGTGTGGATTCTAATATCACCCCTTCTGTTAGCTGTCCGGCCCCAGTCATAAACAACACCGACAACTCAAAAGGTACACCTATAGAAGCGAACATTAAAGCCTTGTGTTACCAGAATACCTTTAAAAAAAATTTTTTTTGCTTGGTTCCAGCATCTAAGTAACTTGTTTGCATGCTTTTAGGCTTTTCCTACTCAAGATAATGGTCTGTATTTCTGTATCACAAGCGGTCTTTAAAATGCTTGTTGTTATAACTCTTCATGGATGTAGCACCAACACTGTTACTGCATATTGCTGAGCAATATATTCACAGCGGTGCAAAATGTATAATGGATTCCTGTCAGCAAGAGCTTCCAGTCCTCTAGCAGACCTATAACCAGCTTTAGGCTAATCTCCAGGTATATTTGTAAAAAGACAATGTAATGCTGCTTTGGCTAGGGAAGAGAAGCTCATGTCATAACAGGGACATGCTGATAGGTGGAGAAAGTTCAATGTGACAGGTGAGCTCCCCTTTCCTGTTAACATTTGGGTAAAAATAAGGAATATTATTTTCTTTTTTTTTTTATATTTAATATATTTATTAATTTTTCATAAAGAATATTTTTCTTAAAACACAATTCCTTACCCTTATGGAAGATTTTTCCCTTCTTAAAAACATTAGAGTCTAAAGCAAGCGTATCCTACCCCTCTTCTCTTCTCATTTCTAAATGTTTGAAGTACAAAATCTTCCCATTTCTCCCATCTCCTTTTATATATCTCCAGGATATAGTATAGCTTCTAATCTGCTTTCTCTCAAACCAGTCCCTTTCTCTCGGAACCTCTAAACTATGCCAGAATCTAGGTATCAACCCCCTTTTGCATTATAGTACCATATACCGGAATCCTTGTATTTATTCACTGGTATATCTGTCTTATGTAACAGACACAGGATCTAATCCTACTTTTAAGATTTTCTCTATTAAGTTGACCATTTTCTTCCCAAAAACTTTGAACTTGGGTTTGTCCACACCCACGACACTCTTGTGCACCCATTTTTAATATGTGCCATCTTACCAAACTTTTATAGCTTTTCATGCTGATATTTTATGTGTGAGTCTATATATATTACCTCATCCTCATATCTCTGTCCCCAAGTCCTTTTCCCATTTTTTCTATATCATTGGTTTTCCTCTCTGAGAATTTTTATATATTTTTGCCGTGCCCCGTTTTTCCCCTCTCCCCGTGATTACTCTTCCAATCCTTTCTCCCTCTCAATGGTTTCGAAGGCTCTCAACAAAGTGTTTTAATTGGTGGTATTTCCACTCATCGATCTTTAATAAAAAGTTCCCCTCAATAACCTTTCTTTAAATCTTTTATTGTTTTTAATTTTTTCCATCCATAATATCCCTTAATTGAATGTCTTCCTTTTTAATATTATCCCCTCTATACCTGGTGGAAAATATTCCCTTAGTGACATTTTGTGAATTAAAATCCCACTTGATGTATCCCAAACCTGTTAGAACATTCTTGTATATACAGTGGTAAACCTCTATATTGTATTGGTGCCCATATGCTACTCAGGTCAACTCCACTCAGTTCGTTCTCTATTTAACCCACCTTTTTTCCCCTTTTTATTTGTGATCCAGTCATAAATTCTTGTTAAAGGTACAGCTTCTATCTGGCACTCCCAAACCCCCTATCTCTTTACCTCTACTCAGGGTCATAAGATATTTAGTTTTTTATTTTTCCATATAAAATTTTGTTATCTTTTTCTTTAGGCCTCTAATGGGAAACTGCATTTTTAATTAACCAAGAGGGCATTCTCATCCAACAATATAATTTAATTTATACAATTTTGTATATGAAGCGATATGTCCATATAAAAAGGAAATTCTCTTTGATTTGGAAGGTTTGATCCTTATTTTTAAGTTTGATATTTCCCCATACTCTTTTAAACTTCTTATTAAGTTCGGGAGTGTTTCCTTTTTTGCAGGTCATCTGCAAAAGCCACTTTATGTTCAGTTTCCCCATTTTGTATTCCTATATCTACAGAAGGTTCCAATAAATACATACAACAATGGGGACAGTGGGCAGTCTTGTCCCGTTTGACATCCCAGTCACCATTTACCCATATTGTATCCTATCCCTCCCTCATTCTAGACACTCCCATGATCTCTAGGGCATGAACTCCAGGTTACTCTATCAAAAGCTTTTTCGGCTGTAGCACCACTGCTGGGGTTTTGCTTTCTGGATCAGCAACCCAAGATACCCTTCCTATCCCCACTTTCCATCCCTACCTTTGCACTATATTTAGGGTGTCCCAGTGAGTAGCATCCTCCCTTCCTTATGTATAAAGTGAATGCTTGTAGGGATTCCTGTCTCTCCATTTCCCCACCCTCCATACTCCTGTTAGAACCACAGGGTCCCAGTACTTCCAACCTGCCCTCCGTCCTAAATATACACCACAGGGGTCCCAGTACTTCCTACCCCCATGTTTGCCCACAGGGGTACCCCAGTACTTCCTATTAATATCTCCATACTCCCCTCTTGCGTTATATACCTTCTAGGGGTCTCAGTAAACTTCCTACCTCCCCATCCCCTGTTACATCCCCTGTCAGTCAGGAAAGTCCCAATATTTGACTTCCTAACATGTAATGATATAAACTGGGGCACAGATAGCATTGCCTCAATAAGTTTGATGACTTTATATAATCCAATCTCGAGTAAGTCTCGTGTGCATGCAGAGAAGAGAAGGTTAGGTCTCTTTTCCCCATGCATTATTCTCCAGCTCCCACTTCAGTTGGTCATGCTTAGGGCAAGTGGTCTAAAATAAGTTCAGATTTAACTTTCTTACAAATCCCTGTATTTCAGGATGCTAATATTTTACACTCTGTGTGTTGCCCATTGGATCCGTCACTCTGCACTTCATGTTTTTTGCCACCCCCCCTTATTAATTGGGGAATCTGCATAAGGTATTTAGTAAATTTAATTTGCTGATATTACTAAGGGGAAGAATAGGTACTAAATGCCAGCATGGGGTTCATGACCCTTTTTTAAAGTTTTTATGTTAGGACTTTGTCTGAACACAATAACATATTGGCCAAGTAAAATTTATCCTAATTGCCTGGTTAGGAGATTTCTGTATTTTGTCCAGCTGCTGAGGGCAAGTGTTAAAGAAGCAATATGTAGGGTTCAATATGTGTTTGAACCAGCATGCATTTTTATTGTAATCACGTAAATGTAAATGTAGCCATATTGTCCTATGTTCCTCAGTACTTCCTACCTGAAAATGTAATCCTGCCGTTTTGGAATATGGAGGGCAAGTGGTTTTAAAAAGGGGTTTATCCTTTTCTATAACCACTGTATTGGTATGCTATATATTGTATGTATGTGTATATTTTTTATGTATGTATGTTAGAGCGATTTTCAGAGTTGCCAGGTACTGGTATATTTTTAAAGCTTATAGATTTCTTTCACAAGATGCAGTTTGCTACATCTTATGCTAGATTCTCAATTTACAGGCTTTCTTGTATTTTAAGACGTTTAACAATTGTAAATATACTGAAATGACATCCCCTTACAGTACAAAAGCCCATATTTTGTGTTAAATGTATGCAATGCTTGTGATAATGGAATACATTGATGGTATTGTATAGTTTTACATAACCATACCCTTTGTATAATACAGTGTTTTTATATTCTGCAATGCCCTTTTTTATTTCTACACAAAGGATCGAATTCAGAAAAAGATGGGACTTGCCATACAGTGACGAAGTACAGGGGCATAATTACCCTGTACAGACACCAGCAAGCTGCTTTTGCAATCACAAGTAGACGAGGTCCAGCTCCCAAAGCAATGAGATCCCAGGTGGCAGAATTGCCTGCAGGAAGCAGTAGCCATGGGGCTCCAGATTCTGATGAGGTACATCATTTGCTGTGGCCAGGTGTACTGGCTTCACAAGTTACCATACTTGTTTTGAATATATTCAAAACCTGAACCAACATATCTTATGTAAGCGTATAGGAGCATTGAAGTCACAGGTGTCTTTTGAGTAAATGCTTGAGCATATATTGTCAAATTTTGCTAAATTTTAGGCTGCCCTGCCCTGTAATGAATTGAATTATTCTGAAGGTCCTATTATAAACCTAGATATTTGTTGTAGGTTATCACAGTTTTTTGTATATACAAACTGAAAGCTTTTCATGATGTACCGTATATGGCATTAATTTATGAAGTAGTGTCTGTATTATAATTTGACTAGTTTCAGGGTACAATGTAAAAGGTAGACTTGGACTATTCTTTGTTTAGATGTGTCCTACGCATCGTCCTGTCTGTGTTGTGTGGTTTGTTTGTTGTGTGTGGTTTAGCATGTCTGAAACCTGTGTGACATCATCCAAACCCCCTACCCTACATGTGTCCAAAAACTGGATGTCTGATTTGCAGTTTTTGTAATGTGCAAGGCCTGTTCATAGGAGTTAAGGGACCCCTAATTTTTTCAGTATAAGAAGGTACATTTTATCTAAGTTGTGTACTTTCTAATTTTTTCAAAAATGTCATGATCTGTGCCCCCATAGATATCTGATCTTTTCTAGCTGCTAGCTTTCCCCATGGGCACAATAGCTGCAATTCTGTATATTTGTAGATATGCATTGTTTGAAGGAACAGTGAAGTACCAACCTGGTGTTTGAAGAATGCAATATTGAGAGTATATGATGAGCAAATCTAGCTGCCCCTATGCAGTCTCCACCACACACTGCACTTCTTCCTTTGACAAAGTTGGTACACTCTTCCTAGCACCCAATATGCTCCAGAGAATGCCAAATAGCCTCCACTCATCCAGGTCCTCAAAGGTACTCTGCCCCTTAAAGGATCACCATCCATGGCCCAGAGGACGAGGGCAGGGGGAAAAGAGAGGGAAGGTGGGGAGGCAGAGCAGAAGAGACCAGTGCAGATCAAAAGGTAGTGGGGCTACACCGGACAAAGTGATGTCATCCCATTGTCACTGGAGAGGTATACCTGTGTGTGGAGCTAGGCTTACAGTGCAGATGAGCAGAAGCCGCAAAGCTGATAGCTATGAGACTAAGCATTCTTTATCTGGTGCAAGGTAGTGCACATTTTAGTGTGAGTATTCATGTGTTTAAGAACGTTTTAATAAATTTGAGGGTTTTACACCATGCAAAATTTTCTTGGTGACATCTGCGCCTGAGACAGGAGTACATTTTGAGGAGAGTGAGCTACTGGTCCAGGACCCCCCCTCCCTTAGGGAAAGGTGCTGTATGACCAATATTGTGATAGTCATGGCTATCTGGTGAGTGGTTTGTGTTTTACAGGTGGTGACACATGGGTGATTCTTCACAGAAGAATACAATTGAAGTACAAGTAGAAGCACAGAGCACTGATTTGATGGATACTAAATGATTATTAAGTGTATAAGATATTGGAAACCTATGATTTATATTTATTACTTTGTTTTGGGTTTCATCTGATTAGCATACAATTATTGGGGTTTCATCTGATTAGCATAAGATTATTGGGGTAATTCATTCTATTTTTCTCCTAGCGTAGCTATATTTGGAATATGTTTTCCTCCACAAAGTTCCATTGTTCTGCCTTCATTCTTTTCCCACCTATCTAAATCCAACTCTTGGGCATGAGAGCTTGTTTCTTGCGTTACTTTGACTTTCTAAAGCCTTTAAGTCTAACGCCCTTTTTCGTTTTACGCTATGGAAGCAGGGCAGGTTCCCAAGCCTCACAATATACAATCGTCCACTGGATTAAGCTGGTGATCATGGAATCTTACAAAGTTTTTGAATAAGATTTGTCTACTTTCTCCCGTGACTTTCTACTCTGGCTTTGTCAGCCTTTTGGGCAGAGTTGGGTGAGAGGAATTCCAGAACAATGTCAAGCAGCAATGTGGTCTAGCTACTCCAACTTTTATCAAGCCCTAGAGATTGGACCTTTAAGAGTTTCACCAGGAATGCAAGACTTTCCTCAGCTGTAAACCATTAACTCGGGACACATGGGCTTATGTGGAGGTGTTTGGGAGCCCTGTCAATGGAGGGGCTCTCCAGTTGTAGACTTCTGGTGTCCCAAGTTCAGTGAGGAACTGGACAACTTTTTTAGGACCAGGGTTCTACTGCAATTTGTTGTTTTGGTGATATTGTGTGATATCTCTGCTTTATTCCTTCTTTGTGCTACAATCTTTCCTTTGCTTTGCGGAATTACCTTAGAGAAAATTCTTGTCATTCTGGTCATTTTTAGTTTTGCCCAGGAGAATATGGTGTTCCAACTTGCCTTTGTGGACAGTCCATGGATAATGTGGATAGTAAATTCCTGCCACTACAAGGCCCAATTTTTCCAACCTTCTTATGACAGCATGCATAGGGGATTTTTTTTTTTTTTTTTTTTTTTTTTTAACCAGACTGCTGCGTGGGAGTCTTCCTATTTGTTATTTTGGGGACCTGTTGACTTGTTACCATGTTGCTCTCCTAGTGCTTTTGGACTTCTGTTTGAGAGGGTGTAACCACATCCCCGCCACCCTATAGCAGACATACTGCTACAGGGCAGCAGGAGTGCCCACAATTGTGTTATTTATATATGTATATATCATTTAGCATTTCTGGGTAGAGGCACACACCCTACCGGTGATGCCATCCGCAGCTGTCAATCACCAGGTCCTGGCCGATGATTACCAAGGATCTCCTGACAGAAGGAGGGCTGCTTTGTTTACTAACAGTCCTGCTCCCTGTTGGCTCAGGCACACTGCTCTGGATGGCTGTGCACAGCCATCCAGAACAGTGTCCTTACAGTGAAGCACCAACACACCACCTCCCAGTAAAACACTCCCAGCACACAGTTAACCCTTTGTTTGTCCCTCATGTTAACCTCTTTCTGCCCAGTGCCATTAGTTCAGTGTTTTTTTTGTTTGTTTGGGCGTGTTACACACTGATGTGCTAACCTGTAGGTTTATACAGTATCTACTTATCTTACAGTTCCTGTACAGTTCAGAAAATGTCCTGAGTTCACTACACAAAAACTGATGTACTTAAACAGATATTCTTAGAATGGAAGAATATTACGAAACAATCCAGCTCAATTTGACAAACTACTAGGTTTGCAATGACCTTGATAGTTAAGAACCTTCAGACATGTATTATAATCTAGTCTAGTTTAAAAAAAAAAAAAAAGTACCGTGTGTGTGTGTGTGTGTGTGTGTGTGTGTGTGTGTGTGTTTCCCCCCAACCTGTGTACGTTAAAAAAAAAAAAAAAAAAAAAAAAAAAAGCATTTTATAAAAAAAATTGAGTTGATTGACCATTCTATACCATTGTCGTACCATCTCCTGATGAGAGCAAATAGTGATTTCAGAATTGTTCCTCCCAGTTTGTTTTTTTTTTTTTTTTTTTTTTTTTTTTTATTTAACGTCTTGATGCCCAAGTGGTTTGCAGTTTGTGGAATGGGCCATCTTAACTTTGCCAAATATTAAACGTCAGCCTTGCTGGGGAACACTGGATGTCTTTTTATGAATTTTTGGTAAAGTGTGTGTATATATAATTGGGATTCTGCAAGTGCGAAGTATGTTTTCTTTTTTCAGTTAGTTAGATTCTAACTAAAAAAGCGAAAAGGTACTTGGTATCTAGTGCTTGCAGAATTCCTATTATATATACTTTACGGAAAATTAATAAACCTTTGATCCAACATCAAAGTGTGTGTAGAATTTTAACATAATACTAATAGAGGTTGGAGTGCCATTTTCAGCCTATCATGGTCGGATAACCCGTATTCCACGTTTCATTCCTAGACTCAGAAACAACACTTATTTCAGAGAAGAGGTGCAGAATACACACTGGCTAAGATTGCCAAACACTTTGCTACTGATCTGCCTACAGGATTACCTAATCTCTGGGAAGCAATGGTTGGACCTCTGAGGAACTACATAAATGTTGATAATTTTGGTGAGTTACAATATTTATTCTTTTAAAGTAATGCAGGTAAAAATTAGGCATACAGAGTAATGATACTTTGCAGTGTGATTTTGCATCAATAAAAAATGTATGGATGCAAATTTCACCTCAAAGAATAGCGTGATTTGAACTGGAATAATTCCTGTCTAAGTCGCATGCAGTTTCCCTTTACTCTCAGGCTCTGACAAGTCTGGGTTCACACAAGTGCAAACACAGGACCAGTGCAGGGAGGTTTCCTGCAGCGGAGAGTAAGAGAAAAGGGTGTGTGTGGGGATATGTAAACCTTTGTGGCAGATGGAGGCTAGTGTGCCAGATTCTCAGCTGTTGAGAGAAAGCTGTGGGGATTTCAAATCCCCAGACCTTTTTGAAGCTGCTTTGTCTCCTCTTATTACAGGGATGACGGTGCTGACCAACCAAAAGCCCTGAACTGTCACAGGGATGGTGCTGACCAATCAAAAGCAGTCTAGCCCTGCACTGTCATCCCTGCAAGGACAGGAAAGAAAGCTGCTTCACAGGTCTGGGGATTTGAAATCCCCATGGCTTTCTCTCCTCTTTGCAGGGATGACCGTAAGGGCTAGACTGCTTCTGATTGTTCAGCAGTGTCTGTGATGGTGCTGACCAATCAAAGGCCCTCTAGTCCGAACTGTCATTTCTGCAAGGAGATGAGAGCCACAGGGATTTTAAATCCCTCTGGCTTTCTCTCCTGTCCTACACCTGAGAATCTGGAGCATCTGCCTCCATGGTATACATGCCCACTCTCTGCTCAGCATGGGATTGGTGCAGGGAGGTTTCCCACACTGCACCTGTGTAAACTCTATCTATGACAGCCTGGGTTCACACAGGAGCAGTGGGGAAACTGCATGCAATTTGGCAAGCGTCGCATGCTATTCTTTGCAGTGTGTTTGTGTCAATACAAAATGCAAAGTATCGGTTTCCGGTATTGGGAGCATTCTCATGAGTACTTTAATAAAGTGATGCAGACACTGTCTCAGACCAGTTGAATTAGGGGATCTTCATCTTTTCCCAGCTGGACAGATGTGAATTTGTACTTTGAGCTAAGTAGAAACTACTAATTTTGATGTTTCAATCTGTGAAAAGTTGGTCTCTGTTTTAAAGCTGGGTTGGCGATCGGTTTTCAAATCTCCTCCTCTCCTAGGCATTGAGAGTAATTTTTGTGCATTGAAATGAAAGTCGGGATAGAAATAGAGGTGATACCATTATGACCGTGTTTTTTGGGTTTTTTTTTTTTTTTTTTTCTTTTCTTTTTTCTTAAGGTAAATGCTTTGGGGAAGTCATACTTGTCTGGCTTTACTGCCCAGTAAGTTGCTGACCGAGGGCATGCATAAAGCGAATTCTGCCTTATTTTAGTGACTCATTGGGCACTAAGGCATATTGACTGCCCTAGAAGGGGGTTTTTAAACAGTCAACTGTGGCATCTGCTTTCCTCTTTAATCCTCTTTAAAATTGATAATTTGTGTAGACGGTTTCTTTGGCTAGAGTTTTTATCTCCTATGACCTTCTGGAAAGGAGTGGTAATCAAAACCATTTGTTATGTATGATTGAGTCATATGGATCTGAAAACCATCTGTTTTGGTTTCATCCCCTTGAAAGGTTAGGTGGTTATACTCTTGTTGCTTAAATTTAAAAAAAAAAAAAAAAAAAAAAAAAAATCTATGGGCTTATTGGATTTTTCTCCTCTTAACTATATAGTGGTGAAACTTAGAAAAGAGGGTGTGTATTTGTAGTTGAGTCCATATATATTTGGACACAGGCACATTCTTAGTTTTTTTTTTTGTTTTTTTTTCCCAGGTATTTACCAAAACCTATTTGAGTTATATGATCCACTCTATTGTGTCACATATAGCGCTATAAGGCGCTGGCACTAATCTCACTTTATTGCTCATTGTTTTTTTAGCGCAGCATTTCTGTTTTACATATTTAAGTTATAGTCAGTCATATATGGATTGAAAGTGCAATACTCTCAGGTTTAATGTGAGGGTATGTACATCCAAATTGGAGGAAGAGTTTAGGAATTACAGCTCTTAAGAGTAGTCATCCCCCCTTTTTTTTTCAAGGGACCAAAGCTAAGTGGACAATTGAATCAAAAGCTGTTTCATAGCCAGGTGTGGGCTACTCCTTTTGTGTTCTTTCTTCATCAATTAAGCAAGTAAAAGGTCTGAAGTTTATTCTAAGTGTGGTATTTGCATTTGGAATCTATTGCTGTGAACCTACATCATGTGTTCAAAGGCGCTGTCCATGCAAGTGAAACAGGCCATTGTAAGGCTTCTAAAATGAAACTAATCCATCAGAGCAGCAACATTAGGGGTGGCCAAATCAACAGTTTGGTACATTCTGAAGAAAGCACGCACTGGTGAGCTCAGTAACATAAGGCTTGGACGTGCACGGAAGGCAACAGTGGTGGATAATCACAGGATCCTCTCTATGGTAAAGAAAAACCCATTCACAACATCCAGACAAGTGAAGGACACTCTCTAGGAGGTGAGCATCACATGGGGCGGGGTCACTTGGGTGATGTCCCTGGGTGGCCCCGCCCCTTACATATTTAAGAACTGCCAGAGCAGACAGAAGGCTGGCAATTGCATTTAAAAATCAGCACCGACATACACTTCATATTGCGAAAAAAAAAATTGTGAACTGGCATTATTTTTCAATGGATTTTCATTCGTAAACCAAAAATTACGTTAACCAAGGAGTTTGTAAACCGAGGTATTACTGGGGGGGGGGGGGGGTGTTATGTATGTACATAATGTAGTAAAAAAAATTTTTTTTTTTTTTTTTTTTTTTTTTTTTTAGATGGGAAGCTTTTATTAGAAAAAGGAGATGATCATGCACAGGAGCTGGTTAACAGCCTTCAAGTGTTTGAAATTACTGCTGCTTCCATGGTTTCCAAGCTTCACCCTCTGGTAAGGCTCATATGAATCAGTGTACAATCAATATTTCTTTGATTTAGACAAATGGAGGGAATAGCAATGTTGGTGAATGGGTGCTTTAAAAGTAATATCACATCGAAGAACCACAGATGAGTTTTGGGAATAGTAGAAAGTTCAGTGGAGGTGGTTAATTTCATCATTAACCACTTCCTGCCCGGCCTATAGTAATATGATGGCCAGTCGAGCCTCTCGTCCCTCCTGTAGGGCGTCACATTTTGTCCTTCCCGGATCGTGGAGTGCGCGTGCCTGCAGGTCCACGCTGTGGCGAGATCTGTCACCGGCTGTGTACCTCGGACACGGCCGATGACAGATCTGTCTAACGGCCCGTTGCCAGTACTATGTGACCAATCACAGCAGGCCACATGACATTTTTATACAATGGATGGCTTCCTTTCATGCCATCCATTGTATACAAGTGTCTAGCTGTGACTGGTCACAGTGATTGCATGCAAAGGCCGGGCCAATCACAGCCCATCTGTGTCATGTGATTAACTGCGGCCAAGCGCAGCTAATCGCAACAAAAAACCTGAATTAATCGATTTCATTCAGTTAAATGCTTGCTTATAGCAAATAAATTCTTGCTATAAGCAATCAAATTGTGTTTAAAAAAAAACAAATCGCTTCCCCAAAAGTAGTACAATTTTACTATGGTAACATACTACTTTGGGCATAGTGTAATATGAAAAAAAAAATCTTTAAAAAAAATTTTATAAATTTTTTTCAAAACCTTTTCATACTGTCACCAGCCAGTGTCCTGATCACTGCCACACCAGTTATATGATGACTGCACTGGTGACGGTATGTATAAAAAAAAATTAACTTTTTTATTTTTTTTTCTTTTATTCATTTTTCCAAAAAAATATTACAACTTCAAAAAACTCACCATGCCTCTTATGAAATACGTCGGACTGTCTACTTTGCAAAAAGGCGTCATTTGGGGGATATCTGTAATGTTCTGCCATTTTTGGACCTCAAATTAGATTGGCTGTAAGTACTTCAGGACCGATCAATTTTCAGATATATCCCATAGTTTGTAAACTCTACAACTTTCCTACAGACTAAGAAATGTAGCAGAATACAACTCTGCCTAAATTTATGAAGAACAATTATTTATTTGCAAACTTTTATAACCGAAACAAAGAAATCTGGGTCTTTTTTTGTTTAGCAAAAAATAAAAACCCCAGTGGTTATTAAATACCACCAAAAGAAACCAAAAGAAGTTGTGACTAAAATTTTAAAAATTTTGTTTGGGTACAGTGTTGTATGACCGTGCAATTGTCATTCAAAGTGTGACACCTGAAAATTGGCCTGGGCAGGAAGGGGGTAAAAGTGCCTATTGAAGTGGTTAATAGTACTGTTGTGTGGTTGTTTTTTTTTTTTTTTTGGGGGGGGGGGGGGGGGGGGGGGGGGGGGGGGTTCCACAGTGAGTATAAGAAGCATGCTTTACTGCATATACAGACTGATTTTTACTGTTGGTTTATTAACACTTTAAACTCCAAGACATGGAGCTACCCTGAAAGAATTTTAAATTCTGTGAATGAAAATGAATGCCCCTAAAATGGTTAGATCTAGTTCTCTTTTAAAACTGATAAGTATTTAACAAAATGCAACTTAAACTGTTCCACTTTCAGACATGTTCTTGATGAGTTATGGACAATTAATGAACTCTGAATGTACTTGGCATTCTCTGTTGGTTTTGATGAATGAGGCCTATATTTACCAGGTAGCTCCGCACCACAAGGGCTGTAATATAGGCAATCATGGATCAAGATTAGTGTGCAGTTGTTCCTAAATTTAATGCTTCCTTACCAGCTGCTCCAGCATCTTCCTCATCTGTTCACATGTCTGCAACATCCATACACTGCAGTGAGGCACATGGCATCTCGATGTGTAGGAGTAATGAGCCGTATTGCTACCATGGAAACAATGAATGTCTTTTTGGAGAAAGTTTTGCCTTGGCTCGGTGCAATTGACGATAGCACAAAGCAGGAGGGGGCCATTGAAGCTCTGGCCTGTATCCTTTTTTACTTGTTTGTATTTGTTCTTAAAGCTTCCCCCTCACCTACTTATGTTTTGATTTTTGAGCTCTGATGGATGCACTGTAACATTTTATAAATCACACAAGTATAATCATTTCCTGGGGGTGGTTATGGTGAACTTGAAATGTCTTTTTGGTTTTAACAAATCTGTTTTTAGCTACTAGTCTACAAAAGTTTTCTATTAGTACCTCTGCTTTTTTTATGATTGAGCCTTAATTATACAATACAAAGGTGTAATGGAGCAGCTGGATGTCGGCATTGTTCCATACATTGTCCTACTTGTTGTGCCGGTGTTGGGTAGAATGAGTGACCAAACGGATAGTGTTCGCTTTATGGCAACGCAATGTTTTGCTACTCTCATCCGGCTGATGCCGCTAGAGGTAAGTCCAGATATTCTGCGCAGTGTAACATGGTTTCTATTCTTTCTGATTATCTACAGTATTGCAGGTACTTTAAAGGATAAGGTCTGCTGCAGATCTGTCAGTATATCTGCTTGCCCGTACGGGATGTACGAGCAAGCAGATATATTGCCAGGAAGATTCAATGAACTGCCACAGCACCGCAGTATTTCATTGAGAACTACATGCCGAAAGCCACTAATGTTGTTGGGACTTTGTAGTTTCTCATTCACAGAGGTGTCCCTCACAACTGCGTGTTGGCTTTTCTGTTTTTTTTTTTTTTTTTTTTTTTTTTTTAAAAAGATTTGACAGCGAGCGCGGGGAGGGAAGATCCCCCACTAGCTGTCACAGCTGGGGAGCAGGGGCCAGTGCATTCATAACCTGTTCACATATGGGTGTAACATGTTATAAAAGGTGAACTTATCCTTTTTAAACAAACAAGTTTCTTAAACTAATTCAATATGTTAAAGGATAAGTTCACCTTTCATGTTACATGGTGCACCCATATTCAGGGTGTTATAAATAGACAGGCCCCCCACTCCCCTGCTTTGACAGCTAGCAGGTATCTTCTTTTCCCACGAGCTGTCAAAATTTTTTAAAAACTCAGCTGTGTGGGACCCCACCTGTCCGCCCCGCCCAGTCCTCTGTCCTTAGCAGCTGTCAGCTTGTAGATCTCAGACTCCCACAGCGCTGTGGATCGCCATGGTAGTTCATTGATTTCTTCCTGTCATATCTGCTTACCTGTACGGGCACGCAGGTGTACCGACATGTCTGCAGGAGACCTTCAGTGAATAATTCTTTGAGTACTCCTTCTGATCTGAAGTGGTGTTAGTTGTTGGGGTTGTCATGGTCTGTGTTACCATTAGAGAGTTCCCTTTTACTTTTGGGGAGATTCAATAAAGGGGAAATCTCACTAGGGACACAAATTATCTTAAGATCAGAAGTTATAACCCTTCCCCCCCACTATTTGTAAAATTTTGGTTGATGCATACACATGGCTGCAATACACATGACCATTCGAGGATAAAGCTTGTATAGAGCATGATTATGAAACTGACACGAAGCAAAAGCTCATGTAAAATTTACAATAACTAAGTATAGTTCCTGTACAGAGGTTTTTGTCTGTTATGTCATAACAGTACAGTCTTAAGGCAATACTGAACTTCACCGTATTTTACAGTGTTTAGGTCTTTAAAGTGGAACTAAACTGTATCTGAGCACCACAAACTGAAAATGCTATTTAGATCATATTTTAATCAAACTCCCCCATCCATCCATGTCTTCATGCAAACTACCGTATTTTTCGCTCCATAAGACGCACCTAGGTTTTAGAGGCAGAAAACAGGAAAAAAAAATTCTGAACTAATGGACTGCAGACATAGTACAGGAGATGACCAGAGACTGCGGACACAGTGCAGGAGATGACCAGAGACTGCGGACACAGTGCAGGAGATGACCAGAGACTGCGGACACAGTGCAGGAGATGACCAGAGACTGCGGACACAGTGCAGGAGATGACCAGAGACTGCGGACACAGTGCAGGAGATGACCAGAGACTGCGGACACAGTGCAGGAGATGACCAGAGACTGCGGACACAGTGCAGGAGATGACCAGAGACTGCGGACACAGTGCAGGAGATGACCAGAGACTGCGGACACAGTACAGGGATGACCAGAGACTGCGGACAGTACATGGGATGACTGCTGACCTTTGGGGAGGGGGGGAGCGGGTACCTGAATTTGACAGGTACCCGCTCCCACTTCCGTGGAGTGCAGGGGGGGGCGGTAACCTGATTTGACAGACCCGCTCCCCCACTTCCGTGGATTTGTTCTTTCATCTTACCTGTTCCTCTATCCAGCCGTGTGCTGTCTTCCCGGCTTCTGTAATGGCGCTCGGCATGACAGCCGGGTGCCCAGTGCGCATGAGCGAGAAGCACTTGCGCTTTGTGATTGGTCCGGCGGCTTCTGGGATCTGTCATGTGTCCCAGGTGCCGCCTTACCATTCACAAAAAGCACCGCTTCCTGCGCATGCGCACTTGGCACCTGGCTGTCATGTTCCACACTACAGAAGCCGGGAAGACAGCGCGCCGCTGGATAGAGGAACGGGTAAGATGAAAACAACTCCACGGAAGTGGGAGCGGGTATCTGTCAAATTCAGGTACCCGCTCTCCCCCTCTCCCCAAAGGTCAGCAGTCATCTCTATAAGGTCCCACTGTAGAGCTGAGCGGCCGGCCCGGTATTCTGACACAGCGGTGGTGGAAATATCGGACCGGCCGCTCCATAAGACGCACTGACATTTTCCCCCCTTTTTTTGGGGGGAAAAAAGTGCGTCTTATGGTGCGAAAAATACGGTACTTCTAATTTCTAACTGCAACCATCTGATTCATGTAGCATATACTTCTGGAATCCATTTACCTTTAACTCGGTATAGCTCAGGCATGCAGACAAAGAGGGTGTACTTGGCTCAGAGCTCCTCCTTCAGAAAAAAAAAGCCCATGAAGACTCACGTGTAGCCTCATTTTGGCCTAAGCCAAAAACCAGGAAGCTTCTGAAGACTTTGGGGAGAGAGAACCCAGAACATGCCTTCATATCTATTTACAAAAACTAACAGCATAAAGATTAAGTATAAATGTTCATTTTGAGATCGTTTAGTTCCTCTTTAAATATACAGGTCAAGTCTGTTCATGTTTTGCACAGTATCTGATGAATCTGGTCATTGCTTGGCTATATCTTGGCCACTTTTTATTTTTTAAATATATTGCCTTTTGGATTTTACTACCGTCTTGGAAATAATGCATTCTCACCACTGTGGGTAGTGCTCCAAGTTCTAATGCATTTTGACAGAATTGAATTTAGCTTTGAGCTTCTAAATCACTTTTGGTGTTTGGTTTTAGGCTGGAATCCCAGATCCACCCAATATGTCAAATGAGCTAATTAAACTAAAAGCCAGAGAGCGCAACTTCTTGGAGCAGCTGCTGGACGGAAAGAAATTGGAAAATTATACAATCCCTGTTCCAATAAAAGCTGAGCTCAGGAAATATCAGCAGGTAATATGCCAGGAACCTTTACAATGACTTCAGGGATTTCACTACCAGCCACCCTGGCCTGTTCTGTGTCCTTCAAATGACAGCTCTAAAAATGACTGCCAATCTTTAATTCATAGAACCCTTAGGTTTTTTTACTGTAAAGGATTGTCTGTCTGTAGTTTGCATTTTGGCTATATATAGCATAAGCAGGATGTACAATGCTTGCAATTTGTGGGTTATAAATTGGGTTCAGCTATAGTTTGTGATTGCTGTGGAAATGTTTCTATGGCAGCTTGACTTCACTATTTTTTATAGCGATTTAATGCAGAAACAACAATATTAAAAACACACGATAATAAATTGTGGCAAGGATTAGGTTTTCTGACATACATTGTTGTATTTACACAACTTTCCACACCTTGCAATCACCTTTTTACAAGTAGCACTGTTATAATACCACAGTCACGGGGAGACGGAGAAAAGACACTGATCAAAGATCACAATTCTGTTCATATAGTCAGTGCTTATGTCAAACTGTTTAAAAAAAAAAAAAAAAAAAAAAAAAAAAAAAAGCATTTTTTTTTTTTTTTTTTTTTTTTTTTTTTTCTTCAGGGGTCCGACAGAATAAAGAACCTCAGACCAAACATAGTTTTTAGATGCTTTTACTTTCCTTTTTTATGTTCAATTTTTTTATTACAGTGCTTTCATTGGGATGGGAGAGAATGTCAGCTGGAATCTCCCTAGTGGGGATGCAGACAGCAATAAAAATTTGGTGGCCTTAACACAGCATTTTCCTTTTTAAATACCTCAGTCAGGAAAATATAACATTGTCCCTGGGCGGCTTTGATAATAGGAAATGTATTTTGTTTAAAGTGAAGATTTGTGAAAGCTGTGCAAATGACACTTTCCACCTAAATTTTTTATTTTTTTAACTTTTATAATGTAGTGTATGTTTGAAAGAAACTGGTGTAATCTCACCTAGGATCTGCTTTTTGCAGTCCACTTCTCTGCAGAGCTCAGAAGAGAAGTGTTACAAGGGGCAAATATGCCAACAATAGCCATTCTGATGAGAAAGCAGTGTTAGATGAGCTAATCGGTCTGCTTCTGCTTTTTGCTGTCCGCACACAGGTTGTGGGTTGTGGACAAGACCTAGTTGTGTTAAATGTAGTAGAGAAATTTCAGGTTTCTAGGCTGGCTGTGCTGTGTGGCAGAGCTGTGTAAATTTCAGAAATAGACAAATACAACTCCATTGGCAGGTAATAACACATTATGTATTTGTCTGTAATTATATGATCATGCAGAAATAGAGATCACCAGACATTATCTTTAACCACTTTAATACCGCGCTGTAGCTGAAAGACGGCTACATACAGCATGATTCTCTTTTTGGGAGGGCGTGTATAATTGTCCTCCCAGAACGCACCTCGCGCTCGCCCCCTGGGGCATGCATCAGGTGTGCCCTCACTGCTGTGTCCTTTAGACACAGCTGAGCACAGATCGTGGTAAAGTGCCCATCACAGCGGCCCTTTACCACGTGATCAGCTGTGTCCAAACACAGCTGATCACATGTGAACAGGCTTGCTGGTTGTTGACGATACAGTCTTTTTTTTTTTTTTTTTTTTTTTTTTTTTCCCTCACACACTGAAAAAGAGTGGGTTACCTGGCAAGGCTGCCAGCGCTTTGCATGAAAAAGGTGCTATTGCGCTTATGGGTATAATCAATTACAAATAACCCTCAGCAACAGTCCTAATTGTGAACTAATACAACATCATAAGTGAATACCATATGGGACCGCGCATAAATAGTGCAAAATAAATGAGAAGCACTGTAGCAATGAGTAAAAAACCATATTATTAATTCTGTCAGTAAGTGAAAATAAGGTGCAAGGTGCTGTAAGTCTTGACTGTGAACTCATTGTACGATGCAACAGGTGCCCCACATGGACCAATGCAGGCCATAGACTGGGAGGAAACCGGACAGTTTTTTAACAAAAAAAAAGAAAAATTGGTCGTTCGATAGGCCGATGTTGCCACCAACAGTAAACATCTGCCATGTTTTTTTTTTTTTTTTTTTTTTTTTTGGTTCCCCCCCCCCCCCATCTACGGCTGGCATTTAATTACTTCTGTCCCTGCAGAGAGCCCCTCTATTATATTTTGACATTAAAGTATTGCGGTTGCAACAATGTATCTATTTGTATCCATTTCGGATAAAAATAGATACATACTTTGTTGTTGCAACCGCAATACTTTTTAATGTCAAAATATAATAGCAGACTGGAATTCTTCTTTCTCCTTTTGTCTTTGTCTTCTTCTCTCATACGCAGATTTTTTTTATCGGTAAAAAGATCGGCCGATTTGCCCATCAATGCCATGAAAATCTGCCCCCCCCCCCCCAACTTTACCGATCAAAGAAATCTGACCAAATCCAGAAAAACGGCCGACCAATTAACCCATTAACGGTGCGAAAATCGGCCGCTTTTTTTTTTTTTTTTTTTGACCCATCTATGGGCCTGCACAACACTCACCGTCATCCCGTGACCACCTATCTCTAGGATGGTCCTTTGCGCTTTTGGGACTATCCCAGTATGCAGTGTTGCTAATGGTAACCGTTTGCTCCTCCCAAAAGTGCTGTATCAATACCAACTCTCTCCTCTCCTCCAGAGGCAAATTAAAGCAAGTAATCTGTATGTTAACCTTTGTGTCCATGCACACAATAGTGGTTGATTTTTTCCTAAAGGCAAAAGTCTGTGCAATTCAAATGCAGTTGTTTTATGTCTGAGGGGAGCTGTAAAGCCAGCGCTTTGTTTACACTGAAAATCAGAGCACTGACAGTGCTGTATCAGTACAGCCTCCTCAGCACATATCCGTGAAAAAAAAAAATGTGCAAAATTTTCTTTTTTTGCTTAAGATAAACAGTGGCGATTACCACAAAATGAAAGCCCTATCTGTCTTTAAAAAAAAAAAAAAAAGATACACATTTCACATGGGTACAGTGACTGCGCAATTGTCCTTCAAAGTGCAACAGTGCTGAAAGCTGAAAATTGGCCTGGGGGGGGGGGGGGGTACAAGTGCCCAATATTTGAAGTGGTTAATCAAGGATTCTCTTACAGCAATAAAAAATGTAGAGATTTTCCCATGGAAGCTGTTCACTTTTCTGTACAGTATTTACTTCTTTACTCTACTTGCCTTCTGTTGCTACAATAGAGGTAAGTTGGAATAAGATTGTGAAGCTTTACCCTAGCACTGAATGCCACGTTCAAAATGGTATGCTCCCTCACAGATTTAATATTTCATGCCCTAGAGTGGTAATAGAATTCTGCTAGCTCTTGGGCACTGTGTGTCACCCATTGGGTGATTCACTTTCTGTTCTTGTAACACCAAATGAGGGGGAATCTAAAATATTCTACTTGTGCCATAGTACAATGGGGAAAATAATTTTTGATCCCCTGCAGTTTTAGGAAGTTTCCCTACTTACAAAGAAATGAGGGGTCTATAAATTTTATCATAGGTATATTTTGAATGGTAGAGACAAAAATTCAACTAAAAATCCAGAAAGCACATGATATGTGTTTATAAAATTGAGTTACAGTTCAGTGAGTAAAATTTTAAGTATTAGATCCCCTACCAACCAACAATTCTGGCTCCTACAGACTGGCCAAGTGGTACGCAGATTAGTCCTGTTAGTTAAGGAAGGTGCACCTAATGACAGCTCGTTATGTGTGTAAAAGACACCTGTCCACAGAATCTTTCTTGGGCACCACTATAGACCGACCAAAGCGCTGTGAAAGGATGTCTGGCACAAGATTGTAGACCTGCACAAGGCTGGAATAGGCTACAAGACTATCGGCAAGAAGCTTGGTGAGAAGGAGACAATTGTTGGAGCGATTTTTCACAAATGGAAGAAATACAAAAGAACAATCAGTCGCCCTCGGTCTGGAGCTTCATGCAAGATTTCGCATCATGGGGTAAGGATAATTGAGATGAGTGATCAGTCCAGAACTACACAGGAGGAGCTTGTGGATGATTTCACGGCACTTGGGACCACAGTTTCCAAACAAACAATTGGATTGAAATCCTGCAGCTCCCACAAGGTCCCCATCAAGAAGGCACATGTACAGGCCTGTCTAAATCATTTAGATGTTCATTGGCAAACTTCAGAGAAGGAAGTGCTGTGGTCAGATGAAACCAAAATTTGAGATCTTTGGTATTTACGCAACTCGCTGTGTTTGGAGGAAGAAAATTGCTGACTATGACCCTAAGAACACCACTATCGCAACAGTCTAGCACGAAGGTGGAAACATTATGATTTGAGGCTTTCTCTGCTAAAGGTACAGGCCGCCTTTTCTGCATTGAATGGACGGGGCCATGTGTTGTAAAATCTTGGATGAGAACCTTCTTCCCTCAGCCACAACAGTGAAGATGGGTCTTCCAGCATGACAATGACTGAAAACCTACCACCAAGGCAACAGGAGTGGCTCAAGAAGCACAATAAGGTCATGTAGTGGCTTAGCCAGTCTCTAGACTGTTGTCCTATAGCAAATTTATGGAGGGAGCTGAAACTTCGAGTTGCCAATAACCCTTAAGGATTTAGAGACGAGTAAACCCAAAATCCCTCCTGAGATGTGTGCAAACCTGGTACCAAACTACAAGAATCTTCTTACCTCAGTACCTGGTGGAGAAACCAATACTGGCAAGCACAAAGTCTTGTTTTGCTTGTGGATCAAATACTTGTTGTTCTCTGAACTGCAACTTCATTTATAACATTTGTATCATGTGTTTTCTGGATTTTTGGTTGATATTTTGTCTTTTGAAATACACCTATGATAAAAATTACAGACGCTTCATTTCTTTGTAAGTGGACAAACTTACAAAATCAGCAGGGGATCAAATTATTTTCCCCACTGTAGGTGAAGGGACTTTCCCTATGGGGATGTCTGCTTTAGTGATCGTTGTGAGTTGGGGCCTTTCCTGTTGTCTGCAGTACAGGAAATAGGGGGAAGAACCCCCTTGGTGGGGACACAGACAACAGTAAAACCTGACAGAATTTAACAAACAGAAGGTGCTATACAATAAATCCTCAAAAACTATGTGCAGTCCAAACCCTATAAGTCCAATCTTTAAATCAAATTCTTCTCGTGTTCAAAAAAAAAATTTTTTGAACATGAGAAGAATTTGATTTAAAGATTGGACTTACAGGGTTTGGACTGCACATAGTTTTTGAGGATTTATCGTATAGCATCTTCTGTTTGTTGATTTTGTACATCTTTTGGGGTGAAGGTGTTGATGGTGCTGTGGGGAATTGGATTTATTTATTAAGAAAGTGGTTTTTGATTTTTTTTTTTTCTGACAGGAATTTAAGCCTTTTCTACTCGGGAAAACATTTTACTGAAAAAAAAAAAATTTTAAAGGATAAGTTCCCCTTTTAACAAAGCAAATACACCTTCTTTTTTTTTTTTTGGCAGCCTGTAAAGCTTTGTGCCAGCAATCCGCAGATCGTTGGTGCCATGCAGGACTACTGCAGGTCTGTCAGTGATTCTTCCTTCGTACGAGCACACAGATAAACTAAGTGCTGTGGTAGTTCATTGAGAACTACAAGCCGACAGCCAGAAAGGCTATCAGAATTTTTTCTCATTCACAAAATACTGTGAATGAGTGATGCGGGTGGAGCTCTGCATGGCCACATGAAGATCCACCACTAGTTGTCAAAATCGGGAAGGGGAGCAGGAGCCAGTCCATTCATAACATGTTACATGCATATTAATGGTGTAACATGTTACGAAAAGTGACCTGGTCCTTTTTTAAAGATGCATTAAATTTGCAATAGAATCAAGTTTTGAAGGGAGTTCAATTATTTCCTTTTTAGGATGGAGTCAATTGGTTGGCCTTCTTGAACAAGTATAAATTACATGGCATCCTGTGTGATGATATGGGACTTGGGAAGACTCTACAGTCTATATGTATTCTAGCAGGGGACCATTGTCACAGGTACGACATTATTATTTGTATACCCATGTAGCTTGTTGATTAATGGGCTTGAAGTTAACCTGTGTTTTTGCTGTGGCAGATCTCAGGAGTATAACGGAAACAAATCTGCAGACTGCATGCCTCTTCCATCACTGGTGGTTTGCCCACCAACACTGACAGGCCACTGGGTAGATGAAGTTGGAAAGTTTTGTCCTAAGGAGTACCTCAACCCATTACATTATACTGGTCCACCCACAGAGCGTGCCAGGCAAGTACATCACATCACTCAGATCACCAAGTCTGTTTTTTCTTTTAAAGGTGCCGGCAAAACCTTTATTTACATTGAGTACGCAAATATGCAGCCTCTTGGCGCCAAGGCCCAGCCGCCTAGTGGCTGCATATTTGCATGTGCTTGGCGCCATCAGGTTAAGAATGGTACTCCTAAAATAAAACCTTGTATAAAGAGCCTCAGAATGGTATGCAGTTCTTGGTACACAATAGATATTGAACAGAGGAGAAACTTCCTTCTCACTCCTGCCTTTGTGGTCTAAGAACCAACATGATGGAAAAATCTGTTAAAGCAATGTGATCAATACAATTTAGGTTGTAGGAGACATGGAGAGTTGTTAACAGTTGAAACCCATTACCCATCCCATATATACAAACCCCCCCCCCCCCCCCCCCCCCCCCCCCCCCCCCCCCCCCCCCCCCCCCACAAAAACTGAATCCTCTGAGTGGTAGTCCTGCCAGTGCCAGACCCTACTTTGGGAAGATGCATCCAAAAACTACTATTTCAACACAAAGAAGCACCACAAGGGTAATGCACCTCTAAGGCTACAAAAGCAGTTTTTATTTAAATAATTGGGCCTAAAAAAAAATATCAAACATAACAGTATATGCCAGCAACCCACCATGGGAAGTCTCCCCCCAAAAAACCCCAGCTAACCTCCATCCCACTCCAATCTAGATCCAGAACCCCCACCCTGCCCCCACCTTCTTGCTAAACACCCTGGTTCCCCCTATCCCTCTGATGAGAAAAGCCCCCAGTGTCCTGCTACTGGAGGAGATGCTGTTATAGTCTCTGTAAGGGCCACTTGGCGAAATGACAGGTGAGCCTAAAACCTGGCAGAAGATGTGCAACTCAAGTTCTGTACATTTCTAAGATTTGAGACCTAATGGTCTAACCATAGGGACTGTTCCAGAACATACTGTATCTATAATCTCCATCCCCTTGACACTTATGACAGAGGGGTGTCCCTTTCCTCTATTTTTAACAGTCTCGCTGATGGAAAGTAGACCTAAGAAAATGGAGCATAATCCTCATCTCAGTCCTTTTCATCCATATCTGGAAAGTCTTTGTCCTATTGTGCCAGGGTTCTGGGGAATTCTAGAGGGTATTTCCCTGTGCCAGGGTTCTGAGGAAGTCTAGAGGGTATTTCCCTGCAATAAAGTACCATACATTCTGAAAATAACTTTGAGTTGAGTATAGAAGTACTTTTTGTCTGAAATTAAGGGCCTCTGCATTGGCCATGTATTTGTGGGACTGGTATTCAGACCTTTATACTTCTGTGGTCTGATCAATGTCTTTTGGTATTCTTGTGTAGTAAGAGTGATGTTATGTATTACAGGTTACAGCACCAGGTTAAAAGACATAACCTAATTGTGGCTTCTTATGACGTTGTGAGGAATGATATTGACTTCTTCAGGTATTGCATGAATTACCTATTTCCCAAGTGTCTCAGCGCTGTCCTAATTCTCCTTGTGAATGTTTCCACAGTACATAGTGTTTCCTTTACCTGTTCACTGATATTATAACATAACCTAGAGATCAAATCTGAGCATGCCTTGATCTTATGCTTCTAGTTTCAGTGCTATCTAATATGCACATGTTCCATTAAAGGGTATATCTTAATTGTATAGTCAGTACACAGGCTGAGTATTCCTAACCCCTGGGTTATAGGCTCATACTGCCAAGTGATTGGATACGTACAAAGCTTTGCAGAACATACCCTTGGGTTGCTTGTGTCATACGGTGTTGAACCTCTTCGGTGCCTAGTACTACAACAGAAGCCATGTGTGCAATCTTTGTAAAGCTTGGAAGCCAGACCTAGGCAGAGACACCATGCTGTGGGGATGTTGACACGGGCACTAGATTTTACACAAGCGCTCCCCTCAGCACTTTGTGTAATGCATGTGGTCAGCTGCCGGATGCTATACAGGTCCAGGGCTGTTGCACAACCTTATGGAACCCAGACCCTAAAGACCCCTCGTGGGGAAGGGGGGGGTGTATGTCCACCTTGACAGGCACAGCCTTGACCCTTTTTAGAGGGACCAGGATCATGGATGGGTAAGATGGGGGTCACCATGTATCCCTGACAGGTATTGTGAAAAGAGGCTTTGTTTGGATGTGTTCGACAGTGTGTGAATGTGTTTGCTTTACATTGTAAACACTGGCAAGCTTTTGACCACATGCTCCCTGTGCGCCTCCCCATAACCCTACCCAACTCCCGAACCCTGCAGTCTTGTTGCAAGCAATACAGAGTGTCCCTGGAATAGAAGGGAGGATGGCCTGTGTCCTATACTGTACTCCGAGATGTGGCATTTATCCAAGTCAAAATTGCTCTTCCAGCTTGTACTACTTGGCTTGCAAAGAAACATTCTAAGACTTAAAAGGGACTGTAGGAGGCCAGAAACAAGGAAAGAATATGGAATTCAAGGGTTTATTGCCAGTGGTTGCATGTTCTCTATTTTCCTTTTGGATAGAGTGGAGTGGTTGGACCCTGTGTCAATGTCTGATGCTTTTCTTGTTTGGCCAGTTCCATTCCTGCCCTATTGACACAACAGGAAGTGAAAACTGATCTCCTTGGTGGTAACAAAGGCAATAAAATCTAAAGAGTCCTAACGTTTCCTTTATATCCAAAACTGCATTAATATGGACAATTTGTACTTTGTTGTTAACATTTCGTAGTTAATCAGTGGATAATGCACTGCTTTCTGAAAACACTGAGCACTAGTGGTTTCCTGCTTAAGTACATACGATGGTTGTTAAACAGGGCTTGATATCTAGGTATGTTGGAACCTAATGTGGAGAACATTTTGGCTTGGAATTAAAATTTTGTGTTGTATGGACTTCCTGACAATAAGCATATAATGTACAATATGCTCATTCCTGAATTGGCAAATAGTTAACACTTAATAGTGCTGTCCAGGATGTAAACAGGATACTTTATATTGCCTTTGACAAGTTCCTACTACTATCACTTATTCACTTCACATATTGTAGACCTTGATAAATTACATTCACTGTTATCTTTTAATGTCACCTAGTGAAATTCTAGTATCTTTTCACACAGGTGCCTTGTATAATATAACATGACTCTCTTTCAGAAATATGAAATTTAATTACTGTATATTGGATGAAGGCCATGTTATTAAAAATGGCAAGACAAAATTGTCCAAAGCTGTTAAAGCAGATAACCGCAAATTACAGAATTATCCTCTCTGGAACTCCAATACAGGTATGTATTAAGTGGCCTGTGATAGATTTTAAAGCTTAGTTAAATGTTGGGGCGTTTTTTTTCATTTCAATATTTTTTTTTTTTAGTTTTGGGGATAAACTAAATATAAAACTGCATGGCATGGTAATGCAATGAGGGCTTGCAGCCCAAAGTTGCTAAAAAGATGCAATCAGGCAAACATCACATAATGCAGTAGGATAACCAGGAAACCTGGATATGGGAATTTTGTAGAGCAGGGGTAAGCAACCTTAAAGAGATGGAGATCTACCTGAACAATTTGGGAGAAACCAAAGATCACCGGGCACAATGTTGCGCTCCCCCCCACTAACTGCATTTGTTTTGCAATCCCCAGTTTAAAAAATAAATAAATGTGCATGCCTTGCTACAATGTATAACAGAATACCTTGAGAACCTTGAGAACCTTGTTTGAGACTGTTGACATTTTTGTTTTCCCAGAACAATGTTTTGGAGCTGTGGTCATTGTTTGACTTCCTCATGCCTGGTTTTCTAGGCACAGAACGGCAATTTGCTGCAAGATATGGGAAGCCTATTTTGGCTAGCAGAGATGCTCGGAGCTCCTCTCGCGAGCAGGAAGCTGGTGAGAATAATAGGATGATTTATTTCAACTCTTTGGTATGCAGCAACTCTTTATCAGTAATTCTTATCCAGTTGTAAATTGGGAAAGCATTTCTTGTGCTCTTTACCTACAGCACACCTGTACTTAAACCATGACTCTGTACAGTCAACACCATAAGGTACCAGTGTGTAAATATTTTCCCAGTATCCCAGCCCCTTCATTATTCTTAAGTGAGACCCTCCATTACTACTATAATGTGGAGACAAGGGTACATGGTGGAAGGGGGGTAATATGTTTCAGCATATACAGATTACCAACTTTTAATCTATATTTGGGGGCTATAGCAGCGCTCAAAAATGGTTCTAAGAATGCTGGAGGTACAGTTAGGTCCATATATATTTGGACACTGGCACAATTTTCATACTTTTGGCTCTGTATGCCACCAGAATAAATTTTAAAATGAAAACAATCCAAATGAATTTGAAGCGCAGATTTTTCAGCTTTAATTCAGGGGATTGAACATAAATATCAAGAACAAATTGTTATACACAGTCCCTCCATTGGCTACTCTTAAGAGCTGTCATTTCTAAACCCTTCCTCCAATTTGGTAGTACTTACCCTCAAATTAAACCTGAGTGCACTTTCAGCCCATATCCATTATATAACTATAGCTTGAATATGTTTTGGTAAATATTTGGAAAAAAAACTAATTGTATGAGATTAAATATATATGGACCTAACTGTATGTTTTTGTTGTGATTTATGGGGGCAACTGTGTGTCATCATTGTTGGTTTATAGCTTGGTTCACATTCATGTGTGCTTATGAGGCCTATGTGGTGTTTACTGCTCAACGTACTATTATACTTGTATGTAATTTAAACTCACAGGTGTTCTTGCAATGGAGGCATTACATCGTCAGGTTCTACCATTTTTATTGCGTCGAATGAAAGAGGATGTATTGCAAGATCTTCCGCCTAAAAATTATCCAAGATTATTACTGTTCTCTGAGTACATTACAGGTGTGTGGCATCTTATCTTGTTAGTTTCAGGTGTGTGTTGGCAGTGAATGAAAACTAAAGGGTGGCATGCACTCTGAACAAAAAAAACTCAACCATGTATGTTTAGCTTTAGTTATGTAGCCTGAATGGAAAAAAAAAAAAAAATTGTGTGGTTTTGGGAATCCTCCCTGCTGTGTCATTGTAGTCTGACAGTAGGGAGACTCTCTGCCATTGGAATACACAGATCAGTGCTTCTCATTTTTCTTTGATGCCCTGAGCAACATTTTGTGTCATACAGGCTTCATTTGTGATCCAGGCCAATCACTTAGAAAATGTTCAAGCCTAAGTCCATGATGGGTAAAAAAGAAAACCTTTTGCAGTGGGGCCTCCCGTACTGCAGGGGTTAAATGCTTAAGTCTTGAGGGTGCTAAAGAGGATGTATTGTCTTATGCCACACTCTGGCATGCTCCCCTTTGCTCTGGGCTATGGGTGGTCTTGCAGCATCATGTACAATGCAGAGCTATTAACCATGCATTGCTTGTGTAGAAGGCAGGCGTCTGACTGCAGCCAGGAGCACCCTAGAAAGGGAAGCTTTGCGGAAACTGTTGCACAAATGGGAGGTAGTCTAGTAGAGCAAAAAGTAAGGCAAGTCATACTCCTTATCCATGTACCGCTAGACTTAATGGGGGAGAGGGGGGTCCACTGCAGGGTGGTGAGTATGTGCACATATTTTTTTATATTGTGCCTAAAGTTGAAAGCCGTGGGGTCAGGATAAAAGGCAAATAGTGTCCTAAGGTGCTGATCAACAACTGTGTGCATTTCTCATTCTTTCATGACGTGTTTTTTTTTTTTTTTTTTTTTTTTTTTTTTTTTTTTAATAGAGATTTTGTCATCCTAAAACTAATCAGCGTTTGGTAGACACGAGTTAATAACACACCAGATTCTTATCTCTTGGGGATCAAGTTTGTTGCCCATCTGCTATACCCATTTCAGGGACTCTTTCTTCCCTTGCAAGGTCTTTCCTTGTATATTGTGGAGAATGGCTGAGGGTAAAAGTTAGGTACTGTGTTAGGGATCCATTAAGCCGGCGCGCGTAATGTGATTTAAGGGATTTGGCTAATGGTCTTCCACGTTTTCAGGTACAATTATATGAAGATTTTGCAAAATCCCGTGCCAAAACTGATGTTGATGAAACGGTCTCCATGTCTGCTCTTTCTGAAGACAGTGAGAGGCCAAAGCTAAAGGCTACTGGACATGTCTTCCAGGTAAATGATGATGTGATATTAAAGTGGAGTGTGTGTGTGTGTACATGACTTTAAAAAAAAAAAAAATATTCCCAGCAATTTGCTATTCGTGATTTTACTCATTCATCTTTTTAAAACTTTTTTTTTTTTTTCCATCCCCATAGGCATTGCAATACTTGCGTAAGCTATGCAACCACCCTGCTTTGGTTCTGACATCGCAACACCCAGAGTACAAGAAGATCACAGAGCTACTTTGCACCCAAAATTCCTCTTTGCGGGGACATTCAGCATGCCCCCAAGCTATCTGCTTTAAAACAAGTATGTCCAACACTGGTTTCCCCTATTTGACATTGCTTGTCACCTTCTGGCAGTGGACTGCTGCTGATGTGAATATAGAAAGCTTTGCATGATTAACTGATTTGGGTAGTCTTTTGAATCCATAATTGTATACCGGA